CCCAGAAGGGTCTAGGCCCGAAACGTCAGCCTTCCTGCTCCTCTGATGCTGCTTGACCTGCTGTGTTCATCCAGCTCTACACCTTGTTATCTGAGTGTTGGCAAGCAAGTTATCGCTAAGCCAGTGCTGCTTAATCGCACTGTTGATGACACCTTCCTTTACTTTACTGATGATAGAGTGTAGACTGATGGGGCAGTACTTGGTTAGATAGGATTTGTCCTGATTTTTGTGTACAGGACATAACAGGCAATTTTCCAAATTGTTGGATTGATGCCAGCATTGTAAATGAACTGGAGTAGCTTGGCTAAGGGTGTGGCAAGTTCTGGAGCCCAACTCCTCAGTGGCATTGCCAGAATATTGTTAGGGCCTAGAGCTTTTGCCATTTCCAATGCCTTCAGCCATTTCTTGATATCACGCTAGGTGAGTTGGCTGAAGACTGGCATCTACAATACTGGGAACCTTTTTTGGAGGCAGAAATGGATCCGGCTAGGATGCCTGAAGATAGTTGCAAGTACTTCAGCGTTATCTTTTGCACTGATGTGCTGAGCTCTTTGCGGATGGGGAATATTTGCAGAGCTACTTGTAATTTGCAAAGAGAAAATGTGCACCCAGGCATTATAGACCTGAATTTCATTTCTCTGTCTTTGACGATAACTGTTCTTATCTTGTTTGTGTGATAGGGTCCACATGGAAGAAAAGGTGACCCTGGGCCTCCTGGTCCACCAGGACCTCCTGGACCACCTGGACCACCTGGACCTGGGGTAGGTTAACCATCCTCTAGCATGCAGTTCAAGTGTGGGTGTATGCTATTTAATAAAAGTTATGAATTTCATTGACCACATAATGTATTATGAACTTCATCTTCTATTTAAGCACTGCCTAACTACACTTATGGACATGTTGCAGTACCGGCCCATTAAAAGCAATATGATCTGTGCTGTCACCTGTGTAAAAATCTTTGACAAAGGGGAAAAAAATGTGTTCATAACCGATATCATGTATAGATAAAAGCTATATGTCACTTCGGAATTTGTTGGAACTACTGTGAGGTTATGGCCACCAAATTCAATAGAATATGGACGTTGATGCGAGGCCTAATTATAATAACAGTATTTTTGTTTGTTTGCTTTCGTCGTTGGGGAATGGATGATTACAGGAATGCAGATTATGCAGACACTTCTTAAACAATGCTTCTTAAAATGAGCACTGTTCTTTGGCTGCAGAAGGGAAGTAGCCTAAGTTGTTTGAAATGGCTAAACAATGTACAAAAGAGAAAATTCTGGGTTCCACAATGCTACCTTACTGACCTGGCCCAAATGACATGTAAGTGTACTGAGATTCTCTTCCTTCCTTGGAACAGAAACCCCTGCAGACAAAAATACCAAAAGAAGTTCAGTGATTTTACCAGAGCTGTCGAGGTTTTTTTTAAAATACTGTGCTCTTATTTTTTGCTCACACATGATTCACTGCCAGTCTGAAGACCAACAATGCATCTTTCCACTTCCCTCTGAGCACCTATAATCATTGCATCGCACCACTACATCTCATTGTCCTAATGTCTTCACACTATGCTCTCCTTATTCTTGCCACTACTGAAACCCTTGCTTTTTCATACTTTATATCTGACAGATTGTACATGAACTATTCAAACAATACTGGCACACTCTCTATACACCTTACAAGGGATTTGTACATATTTCCTGCTTGTTGGACAGTGTGATAGAAAATGTTTGATAGAAACCATGACTGGAGGAGGCTGTTTCCATCTGAACATTCTGTCAAGTGGAAAAATAAGCTGGTTGTCACAGCCAAAGGCAAAACTCATGACTATGGTGGTGACCTCACCACTGCTGGAGGAGACATTCTGCAAGGTTCTCTACATGCTTGTTGTCTTTGCCCTCATTGTTCTAACTTAGATCCAATTTTCTCTTTTCTCATCTGCCATGATAAGCTAATACATATCACTCTCTTACATTTTTCTCGTGTTCAAAATATAGGCTGCCTTCTGCCACACCAGGAAGAAGAAACTAACTCTTCTTTTAACAAATATCGTCACTCAATCTGATCCAAACAAGCACAAACTCACTGACTGGCACCACGTACATCATGAAGGATAGCTAGATGGAGAATGTTAATATGATGAATGATTGGACATAATTAATAGAAGCTGGGGTAGATGGGCAGAATGCCACAGGTCACCAAATAGTGATGTTTCATAAAATTCTGCCACAGAGGACTCAAATGCAAACATTGAAGCCCAAGGCTGATGAGCAGAATGCAGGAAATGCCAACACATCTGGGCAAAGTGATTCATAGTGTAAAGAAGCTCAGTTCAAATTTATACCAGGAAATAACCAAATCCAAGATAGTGATGGTAGTTAACTCCATCAGCACAAATTAGATGCCCAACATCACGGAGATTCTGCTTGAAACAGTGGCAGCTTTCATGACTGTCAGGAAATCTCAGACAGCTGTCATCTTGTTTCTTGGAGCCAGTGTTGGCAGGGAATTTCCAAGTATAGTGCCAAGCAGTCTTTCCTCCCTGGGGCCATCAGTCCTGCAAGGAAGAGAGAATGAATGAGTTGTAATGCATTTGGATAATGTCCTTGTTGTTTGGGGAAATGTGTTTGTATGTAGATTTTAGGAGTAGGAGTAGAGTATTCAGCCCATTGATACAGGCCCATTAGATAATGCACCTGCTGGTTTACTATAGTTATGTGGCCTCTATCACTGCGGTAAATTGCTTATGTTAGTTTGTGAAGACCATTGAACACATTCCTTGAAACATGTCAGAAGTTTTCAGTTGAAATTTTTAGCATTGTAAGAGAGCCAACTACTGTTGAAGAAAAAAACAAGGACAAATTAAAATTGCAGTCTGCAGCTACGAAGTCCTGAGTGACTTCGAATGAATGACTTTGAATTTTCCACTCCCTGCTGCTATGGAAATGAAAGGACATATGAGACAGAATTAAATTATTTTCACTCTCAGTAACAAAAATATGAAACAGCCAAATTGAAAAGAAACAGAAGCAATATAAACTTTAAACCCTGCTATTGATGCCACAAGCTGTACTACAGCCTAAATCTCACTGAGATGCTGAAAAGCCAGACTTCTTTAATTCACTTGTGGAACATGGGCATTGCTGGCTGACTGGCATTTATTGCCAGTCTTCAATTGTTCTTAAAATGATGGTGGTGAGTTGCATTCTTGAACTACTTTGGTCGATATGCCCACAATGCCCTTCGGGAGGAAATTCTAGAATTTTGAACCCAGCAACGGAGAAGGAATGGTAACTTATTTCCAAATATAGACTCCACTGCAGAGATTTTGAAGGTTTTGAAGATATGCTTTGAACTCCATATTAACATTACCAATGAACAACATGTGTAACATCAGAGCTCGTGACCTTTGACCAGCATGTTACTGTACTGATATCCAGTGGATATCTGTGGTTTTGGACAACTGGTAAATGATGGCATTATCAGAGATGGCATTTTGTTAGGCATAAAAAATCTCATCATGAGAACACGTGCTGGGAGAGGAGAAATTTACTTTCACAACAGTTATGAGCAAAAATTGTGAAGTCAACTATCAGTTACAGACAATTAACAGTGGAGGCTTTGCATTATCCTGAGATATACTCCAGGATGAATGAGAACAATACATTGGAATAAAGGAATAAGTATTTGCAGAAGAATAAGCAGCAAGTTTGAGGTTAAGGAGCAGGATGTAAAGATGATATCATTCAGAAGAAAAAGAAGCTGTTTGGGATGGGAAAGAAGTGCTGTAACAGCAAGAACTTTGCATGCAAGTGTATTGCTAAAAAGAAGCAAGGCAAGCTATTGAAATAGCTGCTGGAGAGCTGTCAACTAGTGATTCGCATGAAACATTCTGCACAAACAACAAGCTGGCATCTTCAAGTCTAATGCTAATAAATGGTGTGCAACCATTAGAATGGCGACTGCAGAATATAAAGACTGTATCTTTTTATCACTCTGTGTTTTTGATTGAGGACTGAAGTGGGAAAAGTATCGGTTTAAAAACCAAGATTTGTTGAAAGATTGCTACACTTTTTAAAAGAAGCTACCAGGCTCTCATTGTAAATACTGCTAATATAGTTGCCTATTTAAACAGTAGTCAAGTTTGCAGACAAACTGGTGTCAAGGGGTGTGGACAAATGGAGCTTTTGCTGGCAATAAGGAACTGATTAATCTGTGGACTAGTGACCAGTTATCGATGATAAAGATCTTTGCCTGCTAATAACTATGTGATTGCTCCCAGGTAGTTGAACAGCTTGGGGCTGTGAATGTTTCGGTGAAGCAATTGGGCGTCTGCAAAGACAGGAGCTGTCTCTTTTCTCTGCAGCAAAAAATCATGTTAATCCTGAAGATAACCAGTTCATTTCCCTTTTCCACTTGCTGTAAGCCATGACTTTTAATTGATATGTCAAAGACCACTATAACTGCGAACCAGTCTCCTTGTGCCTCCTGCAAAAAAATGTGAAAGTACCTGGAGAAGGAAGATCAAGAAGTAGGATCTGATTAGCATCAGGATCACTGGACTGCCTTCCATCCTTTTCGTGCACCCATTTCACCCATGCTTTCTTCCATACAACCCCCCCCCCCCAATCTGTGTATGAATACCTATATGTGTGTGTGGCGGAATCATTTATAAAGGGGTGAGAGTTTTAACTAGTCAAGTTACATGCTGACAGTTCACAATTATTTACCTGTAGCTGGACTTTAACCCTTGTCATGAAACTGGAAATAGCAGGGCTTGATTTTGTGCTACCCCAGTGGGACATAACAAGAAGGAGAGCATCAAGTGAATGCAAAATGTTACATAAATACCAAAGCTTCAAGTAACATCATTGTGCTTCGCAGACCTGATCTAATATTGAAGTCCACAAAAGTAAATTTAAGGCTATACATATGAACAGGAGTAGGCAGTTCAGCCTCTCATGCTTGCTCCATGATTTAATAAGATCATGGCTGATCTGACCACTCTGCATTCCTGGCTATCTCTGATAATCTGATACACCCTTGCTATCAAGAACTATATTCTTCTGCCTGAAAAAGATATGAAGACTCTAATTCCACCACATTTTAAGGAACAGACTTCACACACCCTCTGTGAGAGAGAAAAAAATATCCTCATTACGTTTGTCTTAAATGGGTGGCCCCTAAATAAAGAAGACAGAATGTACACAGTACTCCAGATATAGTCTTACCAATACCCTGTATAGTAGAAGTTGAATCTCCTTACTTTTGCATTTAGATTTAGATTTTATTGTCATGTGCACTCAAGTAAAGAAGTACAGGATATGGTGAAAAGTGTATAATGTCGCCACACACAGAGGTATCTTAGAGTCAAAGGTACCTAAGTACAAAGTAGTTAAAGAAACAATGTTTAAAAAGCTAAGCATTGCCTTTGTATAATAAGCAGAAAAATAAAGAAATAAGGTAATGGTTAACATTAATGTCCTTCTTAATGTAAACTAGAAAAATAAAGGAATAAAGTTAAAAGTTCAACAGTCTGTGATGAGTCCTCTGCTTAGCTTGCTGTCTGGGAGATCTCAGCTGCCTGTTCTTGATGCCACCGCTACAAATTCTGGGTGACTTACCTCACTGCTTAATCTTCCCATGTTGGGCTGTGATGCCATTGCCGCTGCTAAAGCTGCCATCTCCCTGATCTCCTGCTGCCTCCAGAACATGTCCGGCCAGGGCCCACTCGTTTGCCGAGACGCTGCCACGTCAGGCTGTGAGACTGTGAGGTGCCGCCAAGAGACCGCCACAGGAGGGGCCAGGCAGAGAGGACACCTTGCTGGGGCTGCACTGAGGCCAGGAGTGAAGAAAAGAAAAAAGAAAACACCAAGAGAGAAAAAAAACAAGGAGAGAAAACAAGGAAAGAAACAGACGGAGCTGGCTGAAGCATGCTACTCTGCCGCCATCTTAGAATATCCAATTCCCCTTGCAATAAAAGATAACATTCCATTAGCTTTTCTAATTACTTGCCTAAAACTGCATACTAACCTCTTTAGGACACAAAGATCCCTCTGTATTTCACTGTAATGCAATCTGACACAAATTATATATTTTTTAAAAAAATTCTTTGTTGCCAAAATGGTCTGTTTCAATTTCTCACTTTATGCTCCATTTGCCAGATCCTTGCTCACTCACTTAGTTTATGTTTGTATAGCTTTGTAGCCTCCTTATGTCTTCTTCACAACCTACTTTCCTATTTATCTTTATGTCATCAGTGAATTTAAAACCACATATTTGATCATTTCACCCCTGTCATTTACATAACTTGCAACAAGATGAGGCCCTGGCATGGATCCCTGTGACCCATTACTCATTAGATGCTGTCAAACAGAAAATGACTCATTTCTGCCTCCTCTCTGTTTCCTGTTAGCTCGCCAATATGATGGAACAATACTCATCCCAGCAGGACAAATGAAACTGAGAACCCAAGGGAATGGGAAGGGTGGAGATTGGGGGCTCCAGAGAGCAGTTGCTAATCAAAATCCATTAATCTCAATTGAAGTGAGTCCAAAGTTTGGACCAGTGTCCCTAGACATACCAGAAGGAATTTGCAATGTTTCACACGCCACTGAGCCAATTGACTGCTGATCAGATCCAAGAGGATGACAGGTGTTCTTTGTCTTCCAGATGAACATCATCTTAAAGTAGATGGAAGTGTGAGCCCAACTCAGCCTCAGCTGAGCAGAATTGTAGCCCGCCCTCAAGTACAGTCTTAAAGGCTAAATAGAGGAAATGGCATCCCCAGTGCCCCAGGATATTCTAAACAATCGAAAGAAAGATAAAAAGACAAAGGATTCATTCTTTTAGCATTTGGACACTGAAGATAAACAAACAAAAGCAAAAGAAGCAGAGATGACAGAAAAGCGGGAGAAAAGCTATGATAAGAAACAAGAATGGAACTAGAAAAGAAATTGAAGATGTCCGAAGTCAATTATAGAATTAACTTGCTGACAGTGAAATGATTTAACTTGGATCCTAGCAAGATAAGAGCTGTAGCAGAGATGTAGTGACCAACATATAGGAAAGGAAAGCAATAATGTGTTGGATTCTTGAACCATCGAGGAAAGTTCTTACCTAATTTGTCATCAGCATATGAATATCTATGTAAATTTACCTCTCAGAATATGCAGTGAAATTGGGGTAAACAATAAGTAACTCAAATAAAACAAATCTAGCAAGAAGAATTCATCATGTTCTGGAAGTCACCAACATAACAGAGACATTGAATCTGAAAGACACTGTCTTGCTCTGATGAAGGACTCGCTGTGGAGTGACATTTCCCTGGGAAGGAGCATCATCTGAGTAATGAGCACAGACCTCCTAAACTGACAACAACTCACATGTACATCATTACAAGACCTTTGGACAATTACTGTAGAGGTAGTGGATGAAATGCATGTGGAAAAAGTGGGATAGAGTTGAAATATCAGTTTTATCCAGTTTTTTTGTTGCTGAGCATGCATATGTGTAACTGCAAATGATGGTGCATGTAAAGAGGGATGTTTGGAGAAATGCATTTGTACATGGTATACTTGCTGGATAGCTGTAGTTAAGCGATTCTTCTGGCTTTCATTTTAGTTTGTAGAAATCAATAAAAACATTATTTCAAACATCCTGTCATAGCTAAATAGCTAGTGGAAGCTGTAAGATGTGGGTGTTGCACTAAGTGTGTGAATGTAGAAGTGTAACTCTAAAGGTCAGACAGCATCTTAATTGCTTAAGATTATTGATGGGTGAATCATTGGGGTGTGGTGTTTTGAGGAGTGTGAGAGGTCAGTGGTACAGTTGTTAGTATGGCATTTAAAGATACATTCACTGAATTTGAACATTTGAATGACACATTGAACTTCCTCCAGTCCTGTAATTAGATTCCCAGGACTAAACCCTTGCGATAGGGTTAAACCCCTTGACTGTCTGTTCACACTGCCATCACCATGTCTTTCTATAGGGACAACCACTTAGTAACGTATTTAGTGCTGAGTTATACATCATAAACATGGAAATGAGTGGACAGCATAAAGTTTGCATGTTGCCTGAATCATTTCAGTTGGGCATGGGATAATCACATATTGCGATGCCATGCTTAATAGATACCTTTGGTATCTGAGAATTCATCAAGGAAAAACGAATTGATTCATTACAATCATTAGGAAACGTTTTGAAGAGGAAAGAGTTAATGGAAGTGTATTGCTGTGTTGGTTTCAACTTAGATTAAAATGTGTATAAGAATGGTGAAGTGTGCAACTAGGAAAAGCCATTCAGTTTGTTCATTTCATAGACCTTGTCTAATCTGTTTTATCATGAACTCTGTCAAACTTCACTTCTGAAGAAACTTTTGAAATGTTTCTCATGGCATCATAGTGATGGACTGTGCACATTTCTGGAATATCTTTCTTGTCTGACATTCCACCTGCCAAATTAATTACCTTTTTTGGTGATAAATTTCCACTGTGCCTTAGGAACCATAATATTCTGCAGACTATTAATCGACTTTAAATGTTCTTCTAAGACTCAACATCTCAAATAACTTAGTGTAATTAATTACTTGAGATTATCGACTTTGCATTCTTCAGATATGTGGTCATGACCTTGAGCATTTTTCCAATACTATTCAAATTAAAGATTTGTGTTGATGATTTAATATATCCAACAATTCTGTACAATGCACGTTGCTACAGCAAGGTTAGAGCTGGTCTCCCTGTCATTTGTTTTCCAATAGATAGGGCTTTTTCTACTTAGTCAAAGTTTTATTACACGTAGAAAAGAATCAGAATGCTCTGCTTCAAAAGAGCTCTTATCTTCATTTAGCTAAAATCATATACGGCACATCAAAATACACAAACAGTGTCAACATGACAGTGTTCTCTTAGCATTCTTCTCTCTTGCTGAACGAAGAAACAAATATTTGTAGAAAGAATTTTGATAATATAATTCACCCATTAATGAAACATTTAATTGTATCTAATTTTATAGTTTTATTTACTTTTGTTCACAAATGCTAAATAAAGTTTGAAGTTTACGATCCAGGAACCATTCAATTTTTTGTTCTATTTTTGTAGGGCGGTCCTAGTTATGGAGGCGGATGGAGTGGCAAAGATGGATATTATAGTCCTCATCTAGCCATACCTCCCGTTCAGGTATCATGATCCTGCTTTGATGCTTACATACCTAGATTATGCACGAATAAGAACAATCAACAAAACTATTTAGCTTTAAATTTAATATAACCTCAATTTATAATTCTGTAATATTTTAGTGCCCTCCAGGACCTCGTGGACCACCTGGCCCAATTGGACAACGTGTAAGTATATGTTTACATTTATTACCTGTTTCTCTTTTCACGTTTGCATGTTTTCTCTGTAAGGTAAAAATCACAATAATTAAAAAGGAATGTTTCAGTGGATTAAGTGGATAGAATTAAGGATATTGTCAAACTACTAATAAGTCATTGTCCAAATATTCCCAAAACATGCTCATTTAACCAGCAGGAAGTAAAGTGCAAAATAGAGAATAAATTCCTTTAACTATTTTAAATGGTTTTTCTTGTGTCCAAATTGTTAACAGCAGTAAAGAGATGGGGAAGAAAGACTAAAACTTAATTTCTCAATATTCATCAGTATTTGAAGATCTTGTTCAGATTTGGAATTGGTGCTTAAAATGAAAAGAAATTCAGAAACTTTGAAATTAGTTGCATATGCTTTCACTTTTAATAGCTGCACTAGAATAGACTTATTACTATTTTGAAGTTCCATTTATAAGTCAGAGCTGTGTAGCTTACTTTATGCTTGGCAAATGCAAAAGGTGATCAATACCATAAATACTAGATCACCAATTTATAGATTTTTGATAGAAATTCCAGACTTTTGGCAACAATTGGCCGAATCAGACCAAGTTTGTCCTCTCTGTTCACAGTGTTACTAAGTACCACAACTTGCTGCTCACATGTTTCACTTTCTGGAAAGTATGAATACATTCTTTGTGATTTATTAAACATTAAAAATGGTTGTTGTAATGTATGATCACAAATAATACACACAATAAAAGCAATAGATTATAGGTAATGATAAACTATAAAGTCAACAGAAAATATTTACAACAGAGAAACTGGCATTCAACTCAAAATATGTCAGTGCTCCAAAAATGCCTCGTCTGATTTCTCTTCACCAAACCTATGAAAATGTCCTTGTATTCCTTTCTCTCTCACTTAATTATCAAGCCTCTTCTTGAAGGCATTTATGTTATTCACCTCAACTACTACTTGCCATAGCAAATTTCACATTCCAACCACACTTAATTTTTGACAAAAACTCCTTAAAAAACACAATTGTTTCATTTAATAAAAGTTTAACAATGATAAACTTTGCAAATATTATCAGCCATGTGAAGAAGAAAATGTATCCATATCTTTTGTCTGCAGCAAAAAATTATTCCTTACTGTGCATGATCATTACAAATTTTCTTATCTTTGAATGTTTTGCAAAAACCCTTTCAATTTAATGGAGAATGTGATATGCAGTGATAGTTCTGGTGCTTGAAAATATATTGACAATGATTTTTACAAAAGCAACTTTCAGATGATGCTGTCAAATCAAAATTTTTCTTCATTGTCTAAAATATAATTCATGTTCCAAGTTGTATTTGCTTTTGGGTGTGTATCTAATTATTCGAAGAAATAGTTACAATCATTTAGCTGCACTATAAAACGTGAAGTAAATGACATTGGACAAATATTTTAATCAGAAAAGTCATTGATCTTTTATGTTTTTGTAATAGTTTTACATTTTATTCGCTCCTAGGGCCCCCAAGGTTACCCAGGTGCAATAGGTGAGACTGGACTACCAGGCTCCAGAGTGAGTATCTTAGCTAAGATGTATAATTAGTAGACTTGGTATTGTTAAAGTGAAATTTGATGTTGAGGCATCTGGAGTCTCATCAGCCAGCCGGAGAGCCACCAAGATCTCAAGGGTGCAAGTTCCACCCAGCCAATCAGAGCCCAGCAGCTCTTGCATTTAACAGTGCCATCGAGAAGGCTGTGGATGATGGCAGAAGAATGGCCCTCAAAATCCTAGGAACATGGGTAATGGAGGACTAAGGTAAGTGATGTTGTAGCGGGGATGTTTATTGTGTTGCAGAGAGAGGGGCGTGAGGGAAGGTAAAGAGGAATTAGAATCAAGGACAGAGATGTAACTTGCTCAGTGGGCACTGTCTGGTCCCTCGAGTGGGCACTGATTGTCTGATTGTTGGACATAATACCTCTGTCCAGAGATGGTAAGCTGCCTGTACATGCCGGTTGACCTGTCAGGCATGCCTCAAGGTGATAGGCTTGTTTATCCCAGTGGTAATAGGCTGACGCTTGTAAATAGTGACATAATTTTTATCAATTGGTGCCAGGTTAAGAATCTTGACTGTGGTATGATACAGGGATCAGTGCTGGCAGCTCACTGTTTTCCTTGTATACAAATGACTTGGATAAACAGATTGAAGATATGATTGCCAAAATGGTTGTTGGTGCAAAGATAGGTGGGAAAGTAAGTTGTGAAGATATAAGGATGCTGCAAAAAGGTACAGAGCGATTAAGTAAGTAGGCAAAGATTTGACAAATGGAGTCTAATGTGGGAATATGTGAAAATGACACACATTGTGGAGAAGGATTGCAGAGCTTTGCGATGCAGAAAGATCTAGGTGTCCCAGGACTGAATCATAATGAGTCGGTACACAGATCTGGCAAACAACCGGGAAAGCTAATAGAATGTTATCATTTGTTGTACAGGGAATTGAACTGTAAAGTTATATTTCAGTTATACAGGGCATTGGTGAGACTGTATCTATAGTACTGTGTACAGTATTGGTCTGCTTATTTCACAAAAAATGGTGCAAAGGCATTGGAAGCAGTTCAGAGAACATTTACCAGAATAATGCTTGAAATAAGTGGGTTGCCCTATGACAAAAGATCGGACAGATTAGGTGTATGTCTTGTTGGAATTTAGAGGAATAAGTGGTGACTTGATTGTAAAACAAAATAAGTTCCTGAGGTACCATGACAGGGTGGATGTAAAGAGGATGATTTCTCTTATGGGAAAGTCTCGAACTAGGAATTCTAAAATTTAAAAATAAGGGGTCGACCAGTTACAGTGGTGAAGAAGCACTATTATTCTCAGAGAGGGTCTGAGTCTTTGGAACCCTCTTCCTGGGTTCCTGAAAAAGTGATGGAAGCAAAACCCTTGAATATTTTAAGGTTGAGGTGAAAATTTATTGGGGGATAAGTGGGAATGTGGATTTGAAAATTAAACAAGCCATGATCTTATTAACTGGCAGAGCAGGCTTGATCAGTTAAATAACCTACACCTGCTCCTTGTTCGTAAGTTGTGTGGGCTTTATAACTTAAGTTGAGCAAACATGGAAGTGTTTGTGTACCATCAACCTGCCTAATAAAGTGCATGGAAAATAGGAACAGGAATAGGTCATTTGGCCTTTGAGCTTGCTCTACCATTCAATATGATCATGGCTTATCATCCTACTCAGTACCCTCTTTCTGCTTTTGCCCCACAACCTTTGATCCCTTTAGCCTCAGAACTATATCTATTCCTTCTTGAAAACATTCAATGTTTTGGACTCAACTGTTTTCTGTGGCAGAGACTTCCACAGGCTCATCATTCTCTGGATGAAGACATTTGTCCTCATTTCAGCCCTTAATGACATACCCTGCATCCTTAGACTGTGATCCTGGTTCTGTACTTTCTGGTCATTGGGAACATACTTCATGCATTTACTCTGTTAGAATTTTATAGGTTTCTATGGAATTCTCACCCTCTCAATTTTCTGAATTCCAGTGAATATAGTCCTAACTGATCCAATTTTAATCCTATGTGACTCTATGACTATGCAGGAATTTAGCATGCAGTGTTCTTCTTGGCATATCACTGAATATGTACATAGTTAACAAACAACATCACCACAGGAAGTGATGCAAGGCAATGTCGGATAGCATGTGCATGTTTTGTTGTCCTGTAACAATATATATAGTCTGATTTCCATCAATAAAGAACCCAAGCTTTTTTTTTCACCATTCATCGATATGTGATTGATGTGTTTGTGCAGGAGACCAATGATATTACAAAGCCCTTTCACCATAGCTGCAGCCTCAGCAATGGTAACCAAAAGCGATGGCACTATGAAGGCTGCATGTCTGTCTGCCAGCCATCACTCTGAAAGAACCTGCAGGTATTTGGAGGTGGCTACATCTTTAATTATATCATTGGTTCCCCCTTGCAAAATGCTTTCCTGGGTCCATCTCTTGTCATTGGCCCTGGCAACATGTTGCTGCATTCTTCAGAGGAGACAGTCCGTGGTAACTCTCACCAAAATGTTAACTTGTGTCTACCATCTGTCTGCTGCTACCATTAATTAACAAATATCTTCCTGAAGCTTTTGTAGTTAATCCTTCTCACCATTTGCCAAAACCTCTTGTTCATTAGCAGCAAATTCCAAGTCAATATACTATACCCCCAAGTCCAAGTGATTAACATATGCTGAAAATAGAAGTGAAACCAGACTGATCCTTCACTTTTGCAGTTCTAATTTGAGTGATATTTCAATATTGCAATTGTGGCAGTATAAGTAACAAGATCATATCTGATGATCTTCAAGTTGGCAGGAAAATTAACTTTTACAAACGTTAGAAAAATATCCAGTAAATGAGTATAATAAAAATGAATACTTTTCAATTGTGCACATAAGGACTGATTATACAAAATTGCACTTTCAATTGGTCTGTCAACTCCAGTAAGAATATTGAGATATCACAGATGCCTTTCCTGCGATTTTCTATTAACTTAAAACGGATGGAATTTTATGACTCTAATTTCCTAATACGGTGCCCCAGGAGGTGAGAATCCAACCATGTCATCACCATTTTATCAAATCAGTCCTATTAGGACCTGATCAGATGTACCCCAGAACTTTGTGGGAAGCTAGGAAGGAGATTGCTGGGACCCATGCTGAGATATTTGTACCATTGATAGCCACTGATAAGGTGCCGGAAGATTGGAGGTTGGCTAACGTGATGCCATTATTTGAGAAAGGTGGTAAGGAAAAACAAGGGAAGAGCAGATCTGTGAGCCTGACATCACTGGTGGGTAAGTTGTTGGAGGATATTCTGAGGGACAAGATTTAGATGTATTCAGAAAGGCAAGGACTGATTAGGGATAGCCAACATTGCTTTATGTCTGGGAAATCGTGTCTCACTAACTTGATTGAGATTTTTGAAGAAATGACAGAGAAGATTGATGAAGGCAGAGAGATGGACATTGTCTATGTGGACTTCAGCAAGAGATTCGACAAGGTTCTTCATGGTAGACTGGTGAGCAAGGTTAGATCACATGGAATCAGGGGAGACCTAGCCATTTGGATACAAAATTGGTTTAAGGTAGGAGACAGAGGGTGGTGGTGGAGGGTTCTTTTTCAGACTGGACGCCTGTTACCAATGGTGTACCATGAGCACTGGTGCTGGGTCCACAGCATTTTTCATTTACGTACATGATTTGGAAGTGAATATAGGAAGAATGGTAAGTAAGTTTGCAGATGACACCAAAATTGGAGGTGTAGTGGACAGTGAACAAAGTTACCTCAGAGTACAATGGGAGCTTGATCAAATGGGCAAATGGGCCAAGGAGTGGCAGATGGGGTTTAATTTAGATAATGTGAGGTGCTGCATTTTGGTAAGGCAAACCAGGACAGGACTTATACACTTAATAATCAGGTCCTGGGAAGTGTTACTGAACAAAGAGACCTTGGGATGCAGGTTCAGAGTTCCTTGAAAGTGGAGTCACAGATAGATAGGATAGTGAAGGAGGCATTTGGTCGTTTGCCTTAATTGGCCAATGCATTGAGTATACAAGTTGGGATGTCATGTTGCTGCCGTACAGGACATTGGTTGGGCCACTTTTGAAATACTGTGTTCATTTCTGGTCTCCCTGCTATACAAAAGATGTTGTGAAACTTAAAAGGGTTCAAAAAAGATTTACAAGGATGTTGGCAGGGTTGGAGGGTTTGAACTATTGGGAAAGGCTGAAAAGCCTAGGGCTATTTTCCCTGGAGAGTCAGAGGCTGAGGGGTGACTTAATAGTGGTTTATAAAATCATGAGGGACATGGATAGGGTGAATAACTGAGATCTCTTTTCCAGGGTAGGGAGAGTCCAAAACTAGAGGGCATATGTTTAAGATGAGAGGGGAAAGATTTAAAAGGGACCGGAGAGGCAACTCTTTTACCCAGAGGGTGGTATGTGTATGGAATGAGCTGTCAGAGGATGTGGTAAAATTATAACATTTAAAAGGCATCTGGATGAGTACATGAATAGGAATGGTTTACAGAAATAGAGGCCAAATGCTTGCAAATGGGACTAGATTGGTTTGGGATATCTGGTCGGTGTGAAAGAGTTGGACTGAAGGGTCTGTTTCCATTCTGTATATCTCTACGACTCTATAACTATCAAGGATCCACATAATAATAATAATAATTGAACACTTTTATGTTTTCTATTGTTATATTCATCTTTGAACAAAATATTGTCTAAGTGCAAAAATGTTACTCCACAGAATATGAACTTCTGTTACATCACTAATGAGTACCACCAAGTCATGTTCAAATAAATTACTTATATTTTACTGCTTTTAAATCCAAATTTTCACTCAATATTTAATACAAATGTAATAGCTCATGAGAATGATTTTTTTCACATTCTGTTCACACTGAGATTTTTGTCGCTAGTGCAAAGGTGTGGGTCACACCAATCACCCATAATAAGCACCATCCTGCTTGGAACACCATTACCTCCAACAGTTTTTAAACATAATTTGTAGCATGGACTACCTTTGATAACATATGCTATGACTCACAGGGGCAAAATACTGGAAATAAAATCATGCTATTCCCAGAATCATTACAAAAGTTAAAGATTTTTAAAAGTACGCAAAGTTTCCCAATTCACCTGGTATTCAAACCAAGGTTGATAGAAAGCACAGACCAGGTTTCTGTACTTGAAGAAGAACTAGTATTTGTTACAAATAATTAGACTCTAGCTACACCTAACAGAGTTAAACCGTCAGCATATAATACTACTAATTAAAACTCCAATCTCTTTATATACTTTCCCTTGCACACACAGACAGGCAAACATAGAGGGTAAAAATAGATTATGGACAAAGTGGAAACACTGCAAAGACACTTCAGTAGACTTTGTTTCCAGATTCTGTTGTTGAGATTATCTTTATGGCTTTTCTGCTGGGTAGCACTTTGCTTCAATGATCTGTCTCCACTGGTTGATGAGAGACACAAAGTGGTTCGTTCACTTATGAAAAGTCTCTGACTTATCAGTTCAAGGTCATGACATATAATGACTGTTGCAGGTAAGTTAACTGGCTTTTGATAGGTTTAGAATGAGTTTTGACTGCAGAGAACAAGGACGCCACTCCTGAGCTGGAGAAGATCTGAAACCGTCTCTCTCTCTCTGAACTTCTTCCCAGCTCTAAACTGTTCACTACCTGAGAACCAATCACATGGTTGTTGACAGGCAAAAAGATCTGTGTTATCTATGTCACTAGTCCAAAGACCAATCAACTTGTTGCCAACAAAAGCTGCTTCAGTACTCTCTCAGTTCCAATCCGTCTGCAACTCTGCAATTACTGTTTGTTCAAACAATTATTTACATGATCCCTGGAATGGAAATCAGGATACTTGCTTTCAAAACTGTAACCATTCTTTCAAAGACGTTTTTTTGAACAACTGTTTCTCGGTTTAGTCTCCAGGTTTTAAAAAAATGAAATGGAAAGACACAGTCCTAGCACACAGATTTATGAGCGTGGATTAAAAATATGCTGATTGACCTCGATAAAAGCATTAATGACATCTTTCCATTACAGGGTTCAGCAGGTCCGCCTGGCAGAGTGGGTCCACCTGGGCCACCTGGAAAAGATGTAAGTAATTTCTGTCCTAGTATTCACCAAACATTTTTAATGCACTTTAGCAACTTTAATTTCTTCTGAATGAACCAGACCTGAACTCAAAGCAGCATAGCTAGTCAAGTTGAGATACTGGTAAATTAACTTACCCATTTCAGTTTGTTTTGTGTTCTTGCTTTGTTGAGCATTCACAAACATATGTACAGGAAGATATCTACAGTTATTTAGTCAATATATGGTGATAATTGCAGTCAAGTTTACCACTGTGTGATATCATGTTTCGCTCACATCTAACATAACAGTTTGATGAATTGTGTAGGAAATGAAGCCACAGTTTTGTTACCAGCAAGAGTAAGCATTAATGAAAATGACCAAAAATATTCTTTCATTTTCATGGAAAAACTGATAAAATTGTGCAACATTGTTCCTAAGATTTTCATTAAAAATATTTTGCGAATCCATGTAATAAAAATGAAACTTGATCAATGACTATAAACTGTAGCCATAAGATTTATTGAAATCTTCATTAAATTTTAAAATATCAAATTCTAAACATGACATGATTGATGCAATTGATCCTTACTTCTATTGCTACTTACATATGGGTAAGTTATCAGTGGATTGTAATAGGATTTCCATCAACTTTACACAGGCTCTAGGTTAGGAACAGCCCAATCGTTCTTTTCAGAACTCTTTCTAGAACAGTTTGTACCATTTGGTGAAATAATATTGAGGCGTTGGGGTTCTTAACTGCCAGCTGGTGGGCTCTCAAGTGACTCATGCAGCTTCTTTACAGGAAGGCCTGTTGATTCACAAGTCATTCAGGATGTTACCAGGCCATTGCTGGGCCTTCCCTAAAAGCAGGGCGGCTCCAACAACACTCAAGAAGCTTGACACCATCCAGGTCAAATCAGCCCACTTAATTGGTGTCTCCACCGCTGACACTCAGTAGCAGCAGTGCGTACTGTCTACAAGATGCACTGCAGAACTTCACCAAAGGTCCTTAGACAGTACCTTCCAAACCCACATCCGATTCTATCCGGAAGGAAAAGGGCAGCAGATACATAGGAACACCACCACATTCAAATTCCCTTCCAAACCATTCGCCATCCTGAATTGGAAATATATCACTGTTCCTTCGTTGTTGCTGGTTCAAAATCCTGGAATTTCCTTCCTAATGGCATTGTGGGGCAACCCACAACATGTGGCCTGCAGTGGTTCAAGAAGGCAGCTTACCACCACCTTCTGAAAGGCAATGAGGGGCAGGTAATAAACGGCAACCAGCGATGTCCACATCCCATGTGTGAATAAAATAAAAAGTCTACACAGCTGGATGATTGTAGCATGGAATTGGAAGAGGATGGTGAGATTAACCATGTCAAAAGTTGCAGTTGAGTGTGTTAAAACTCACACTGATTTCTCATTATTTTTATCCTATTATCAATTTTCAGTTGTTAGCTGGGTCAGCCTGTGCTGAGAGGTAAAGAACGAACCGAGAAAGCTTTATTTATGACACCAGGCCTAGAAGTTAATTGCAGGCTAAGCCTTGATTAAAAGGTTCTAACAGACACAGTGACCTGGGAACAGTATTAACATAGACAGCAGAAGTTGGCTATTAATGACATCAGTACCTGGGGATTGATTCCTGCAAGTCAGGAAGTGATACTTTGTCCAAGCAGGCAGCAGTTGGTGAATGGTAATAGAGACCTCGCGAAGAGACGATCAGTCTATCAGGGTGGAACCAGAAATGAAGCTTTTCTTTGAACTATGTTTTCTGTGAGATGATGCTGATTTGATACACCAGCTTCTGGAAAACCAAAGAATAGAACGCTGAGTTAGAAATATTGCTACCTTTGCCTGGGGGATCCAAGAAGGTGGTCCTAATCAATGTCCCAGAAAAGCAACCAAGGAGTCCACATTTATGCCATGAAATGATGCATCTTGAAAGCTTTTTAAGTCATCTGGCCAATTTTGCTACTTTCTTTTTCTTACTCCCTTAACGGTGTTTGTTTGTCTATCTGTCTTTTGTGTGAATGGGGCTGAAAACAATGCTTCAGTCTTAAAGCACAGACATTAATCAACTCACTGTCTTGTTTATTTTTTTCTCTCTGCTAAAGTTTTGTGTATTTAATAAGTAATTAAGTCTTTTGTTTGAGATACAAAACCAACATATACAGATGAATTATTTACCAAGTCTTCACATTCACTAAGATTGGTTATTCAAAAGCCTGCTTAGGAACCATTGGAGTGGCTAGTTGGGGGTCCTTGGTTTAATTTTACCGTGTTGCGACTGCAGAGATAGAAATTTTTTTTGGTTCAGCTGTCTGTCTCTGTGTCATAATAAAAGGAGAAGGGTGAAGAGGCATAGTTTATCCATGTCACAGTTGCGTAGGATATAATTTGTGACATTAATCACCTTAGCTGGGATTGGAATCTGATTGGGGGATTCGAGCATAAAGTTCCATCTAAAATGGAATTGGGATTTGGGATGGAAGGGTTAGTGGTGGAGTGACAATACACTCAAGAACTTCGATGGGGAAAAGCAGTTTGCAAACATGGTGGGGAAGGGCATGGACTTTTTTGAGGATCCGATTAAACATGGGGAATTGAGCAGTTTTTTTTTACATTGCTATCACGTCATTTCACTGTTGTCTTCATATTATATGCATTAGGAGCTACTGATTTAAAAATGTTCATTGTTAGGGTGAACCTGGCAAACCAGGAAGAATTGGTGAACGTGGAATACCCGGTCTTCCGGTAAGTAAAGTTTAAGTCGAAAATAAAGATAATGTCTGCATCTGCTGTTGAGCAATCACTTCCATACTGTTATAGAATTTCAATAAACATAGCAGCGGACCTTATAAATATGGAGTGAGCAGAAGACTGGCTGTGTTATTTCTTTTAGGTCAGATAGGTATTAGACAAATTTAGAAACTCATCATTGTGTTTAAAAGGGTTTCAAACTACATCCACCTCGACAAGATGTAGAGGGACTACAGAACTTTTGCTTTAATCTGTTAGTTAAAGGATTGCTTAATTCTGCCTTTAGGTTGACATTTCTTGGCATTCAAAGATAATGTTGCCAGCCTGACATGTCCTTCTACAATACTAGCTCAAACTGCACAATGCCGGTTAAAGGTCCACAGATCAATCCACTAACAGGTCACATCTCCCCATAGAACTATGATCTGGTGTTGCTTTCCAAATTTGATGGTTATCAAGGAATGAGAGATGTGATGGCAGGTCACAATAATATATGATTCTGCTATTCACGATGATAATGCCTCAGGATGTCCAGTTTAGGCTGCCAGATATGTTCTTAGTCTTTCCCATTTAGAACAATAGTAATATTGCACTGCATAATGACAGATTCTTGATATTGAAGAAGAGAATTGGTCATCTCAAAGGCAGGGCTGTAGTCACTTCAAACAATTCTGCTAACACAATTGTAGATAGCAAAATCTAACGTAACCCTTAGGCTCTGAAGCCCTGTAGGTAATGTCCTCACATCAGTTAACATGATACAGACACAGTCTGGCAATTATGTTTTTGTAAGGGATCTATCAACTCAATCAGTAAGTTGTACAATGAGACACAAATTGTGGTCCACACTGAAAATATCCTGAGTTATTTCTTCAAGTCTGTACTTGAAGTTCTTTTGTGGAGGAGTTGTGATCAACTGAGGAAAGGCAGAATGTATTAGTCATGCTCCTTTGGACTTGTTGATATGAAAAATGAGAGAATAGATGATATCAATGTTAAGAACTCCCTTGACCAAAACCTTTGTGTATGTGCCATGGTAGGTTATTCCTGTTAATGGAACAACACACATTCTTTTTTGGGATGTTGACTGAGTGTACAAATCTGCTGTTGTGTCAGGTTGCTATGTAACTAGTTTTTGCAGCACCTGTCTCTACTTCAGCACCAGCTCCCAAATGTTATTCAGTGAATTAGTTGAAGAATGATTGGGCTGAGTTTGCTGGGAGCTCTTTTCAATTCTCAACTTCTTAAATATTGTAAGTACAAGTGTTTAATGACTTCCTAAGCCAATTTATTATCCATAATTTCATAGTGTAGGATAGATCTGATGGCCAGAACTTGTTGAATTCAGTTTCTAACCTCTTATAATAAGATTTCAACTCGTGATTTCTAAGTTCCTAATCCAGTACCATAACTACAAGACCACCATACCAAAACTGCTAAACAATCACCAGTCACAGCATTATGGAGCCACTTGAATCCTAAACAGTTCACTTTTGCATCATAATAATTCTTATTATGTGAATGATGTGAACAGGATTGAAACCCTTTGATTGGTCTCAGAAGCAAACGGTGAGTAGAAATTTAAACAAAAGCAATTGAGAGCTAATTTGTGTCCATCCTGTCTTCAGGAAGATGAAGAGCTCACACCAGATAATATGTTTGCATTGCCTTCACTCACTGAAAGACAGAATGGGTACGAGCCAGATTCCAATATCGTTCCACTGGGTGGAAATGTTGAAATTCAGACAATTTATCTGTCTCATTGACCACTGAGTAAAGGTTGCCATATATTGTGGATGGATAAATGTACGCACTAATATTTAAGCTCTAACTGATGTATTTGTTAATCTATATTCAATGTTCCATCATTAGCTAAATCATGTAAATATATTGTCGACGGACAAAATAAACTATACGGGGCAGCATGTAACTTGCATTTCCAGACATTCTACAATCAATGCACATATCAAGTCGGCAACTGTGTCAATCTAATGGTCTCGTGAGAGGCTTTGCAAAGGTGTGGGAACTATGAAGATCACTCTCCTGACCAATAGGAGGCATATGATTACTATGATACAAATCTCCATTAGTAGGATCTGGGGAAAAAAGTTGTCAGGAGCACAGAATCAATTATGGACAGTTATTGTGGGTTGCTGGCTGTGTTGTCATCCATAGTACACTATCAATGGAAAAGTGCCTTTACTTGAAGACTTAATGCTATTTACTTCCTCATAGGGTTCTGGTGGCCAACCTGGTAGGCATGGTATGCCTGGAATGAAAGGTCACAGAGTAAGTGTCGATTTTTGTCCAGTTCAGTATTCTCAGAATATTTTCCAATGTGACCCCATTTTAGCATCTGGAAATTAATATGAATCCAGCTAAAAATAATTAACCGACTTGGTAACATTGAGTATATAATTATCAAAATTCACATATAGTTTGACACATTATAATGCATTGTATAAATATGAAAGTTTGTTTTAAAGCACTTTGGAGAAAATAATAATAATGTTTACAAACTTATTATGGATTTTTTTTCCCTGGTGACAGAAAACTCCATGAAGCTTCTTTACCTCCCTGTCCATTGTTGCAAAAATGTTGTGAATGTTTCTTGTTCTTGATTCAAGAACAAATTCAAGAACTGCTACTTCCCCACTGTTATCAGACTTTTGAGCGGACCTCTCAAATGTTAATTCTGATCCATGTCTCTCTGCACTTTCTGTGTGGCTGTAACACTGTATTCTGCACTGTGCTCTGCTACCCTGATGCACTTTGTATGGTACAATTTGCCTGGAGAGCACACAAAGCAACACTTTTCACTGTATCTCAGTACAAATGACAACAGTCAATCAGTCATGCCCCTTTTTCCAACACCCCTCCAGCATATCCACACATACACACACTCATTCACTTACTCAATCACCCCTTTTCTCAAACCTCTTCCCCCATACACTCAACAGTCTGCACTCTGGTGCCCTGGTACCCCCAATAAATACTCATCAGGTTCTCTTTGTGACCTTGCCCGAACTCATTTCTCCCCTTCTCACCTCCTCTGATTTTGGCCCATTTGTCAGTATCTGCGAAGTAGAGCCTCCAGTAATAATTAAAAGCAAACTACTGTGGATGCTGGAAATTTGAAATAAACACAGAATACTTGAGAACTCAGCAAGTCTGGCAGCATCTGTTGAGACAATATTTTGAGTTAATATTTTGAGTCCAGTGCAACTCTTCTTTGAAATACTTATTTATTATAGAGCCATAGAGTTATATAAAATGAAAGCAGACTCTTCAGTCCACTCATCCACTAAACTGATCTAGTCCCATTTTCCAGCCTTTAGCCCATATCTATCTAAATTCTACCTATTCATGTATCCATCCAGATGCTTTTTAAATGTTGTATTTGAACCAGCCTCTGCCACTTCCTCTGGTAGCTCGTTCCATACATGGACCACCCTCTGCGTGAAAATGTTGCTCCTCAGGTCCCTTGTAAATCTTTCCCCTCTCACCTTAAAACTATGCCCTTTAGGTTTAGACCCTGTTACCCTTAGCAAAAGACCTTGGCTATTCACCCTGTCCATGCATTCCTGATTTTATAAACCTCTATAAGGTCACCTCTCAACCTCTGACACTTTAGGGAAAAAAAGCCCCAACCTATTCACCCTCACCCTATATCTCAAACCCTCTAACCCTGGCAACATCCTCATATAATCTTTTCTGAAACTTTTCAAATTGTAAAACATCTTTCCTGTCATAGGGAAACCAGAACTGAATGCAGTATTCCGGAAGAGGTTTCACGAATGACTTGTTCAACCGCAACATGATGTCCCAACTCATACTCAATGCATTGACCAATGAAGGCAAGGGTGCCAAATGACTTCTTCACCACCCTGTCTACCTGCAACTCCACTTTCAAGGAACTATGCACCTTTTATTAAAGAGGAGTCTCTATTTTTTAGTACTTTAATTTGATGGCTTCGAGTTTCTTCCTCACTCTGGGCACAGTTGGTCTCTGCTGGTTTTTTGCTGCTCTAAGTTGAAACACATACATCCTTGGTCCATATGAACTTGCCACCAGAAGCATTTTCTGAAGCTAAAGAGTACAATCCATAGCCAAATGCAGCAAAACCTTGACAATATTCAGGTTTGGACTGAAAGTAACAAGTAATGTTCATGTCGCACAATTGCCAGGCAATAGCAGTTTCCATTAAGAGACAATCTAAGCATTGTTCCTTGACATTCAATGCTGTTATACTAATTACATCACCCATTATCAACATCCTGGGGTTACCATTGACCAGAAATTGAAACAAACTAGTCATAGATTACAAGAGTAAGTCAGATGCTAGGTATGTGTGGCAAGTTAGTCAGCTCCTGACTCCCAAAGCCCATCTACAAGGCACAAGCCAAGAGTGTGATGGAATATTCCCCACCTTCCTGAGTGCAGCTGCAAAGGCACTTAAGAAGCACTATTCAGGACAAAGCAGTTGGTTTGACTGGCACCACATCCACAAACATTTACTCCACTACTGATGCTTAGCGTTAGTCTGTGCCATGTACAAGATGCACTGCGCAAATTCACCGTAGTTTCTTCAAAAGCATCTTTCAATTCCACAACCATTTCCATCTAGCAGGACAAGAACACCAAATACATGGGAACGCCACCATCTGTGAGTTCCCCTCCAAGCCACTCACCACCCGTTCCTTCATTGTCATTGGGATAAAATCCTGGAATTCCTCCTTCAGGGCATTGTGAGTCTGCCTACAGCATGTGGGCTGCAGTGGTTTAAGGCAGATCACCCCCTCCTTCTCAAGGGCAACCAGAGATGGGCAAGAAATGCTGGCCCAGCCCGCAACACCCGAATCCCATGAGTGAATTAAAACAAGAAAACTAAACATTGCGTTCACGGTTCCCTTGCTGCTGGCAGTTTTGATCATGTGGATCCAGAACTATGTAAGCAGGGCCTCAGTCATTTCCTTCCAACAGTCACCAGAAAAGGGAAAAGGGAGAGGACAGTTTATGACCACAAATTTAACTCCTGTGACTTCTATCTGAGTTGGTGATCTATGGTTTGGAAACCCCTGGTGTTACTTTGTCTTTTAATTGCCTTCTTTTTTATAGGAGAATGTTAACATTAACTAATTATTCACAATAGTTTAAAACACTAGTAATCATAAGTGAGCACATTACTTTGTCTTATCCATATCTTTAATAGGGTTTCAATGGACATGATGGTGCTAAAGGTGAACCTGGTCTTCCGGGAGCTAAGGTAATTGTAGATAGGTTCATGGATATTTACAGCACTCAAGGATACCATTCATCTTATTGTGTCCATGCCAGTCAACAAACACCTGACTACACAAATCCCATTTTCTGAATCTTAGGCCTATAGTCCTGGAGGCATGGCAATGCAAGTGAATATCTAATTGTCTGTTTATATTTTTAATATATGTATTATTTTAAATCTTAATAAATATTTATAGCTGTATATTTGCCAATATTTTGGTGTAAGATTTTAATATTAATGGTAATTGGAATCTTATGTGTTTGTTTTCAAAATGTTGTAACCAAAACAATCTGAGCTGGGTGTCACTGCTACTATCCCTAATGCTTTTTATCCAATTCTAAACAGGGTGAAGCTGGTTCTCCTGGGAGCAATGGCTTACCTGGTCCAATGGTAAACAGTTTTACAAAATGATTAAGTTCTGATGGGCAGATGAGGTCTTAGTATTGCCACAGGTTTGGCCTTTCTTAACGGTGAGCATCTGAAGTCTCTCTCCAATGGCAGGTTTCCCTGAGATTATGTTGGTCTTGGTCTGTATGTAGAGAGACCAATAGGTATGTCTAAGCTGGAAATACATATTTGTGTTGTGCACCTTTGAATCCTTTCCTTCCTTTGTTACAACTAGGGAATACAGGGTATACCTATACAATGCCAATCATTAAAGTTGGAGTACTTTACTACCAAATATTATACATTGCACAACCATTTACACGTAGAGGATGCAGTCCTGATTAAACAGATACTAAAATGATCAAATTAGCCTAAATCAAACATTGCATGTTTACCTAGTCAAAAATTAAAGACAATGTTAAAGACCAAGCCTTCATGCATCGCCCATTTCACTAGTGTACATAGTGAAAATGTATTTCAGAAGCTGATAATGGGTAATGGAACCATTACTTAATTAATTAAGGCATTTTGTGGATCCTTGTTGCATAAACGATGCTATGTCTGTTTGACTGCAGCTCCCAGGATCATGTGGTGCATTGGTAGTGTTACTAACTCTGAACCAAAATTCCTTGTTCCATCTGCTCCAGATGTATGTCATAACATGTCTGAATAAATTGACTAAAAATATGTATTTAATAAAAAGATGTAGCAATTTGAGCAAGCCCATCCAGAACAAAGGTTTATTTGCCTAATTAGGTAGAAAATGATAAGTGCTAATGTTGCATAATTAGTCTTATTTTCAGAATTAGCTAATGTTGTCAATGTTAATCAAGACTGATTCTTCCAAAGTTTTGCAATAACCACTATGTTAAAGCCGTTATAACTCCATTATTAATTAAAATAATTCCCTTATTGGATGGTCCCTGGAGATGGAATGCTTGAAGGAGTCCAGATTCAAAAGTGGATGTTTTGATCTCCTAGTCATTAATTTAAAAATACAAAAATACCAGTGCTACATGCTTAAACTCTTCCCAAGCAGTTGTGAGTGCAGTTCCTCAGAAAGATGTCCAATTAGAGAATCACTCTTTACAGTTACCCTTGGAGCATTAAAAAATAAAATAGACAATTCTTTTCACTTGGCAACCTTCAAGTTGTTCCTTCTATTTCATCCACAGGGTGACCAGCTGACTGTGCACGTACAGATGTATTGATTTTTGTAGTTGCAAATGTATGTTTCTGAAGCAACAAATGATGTTGAAATGGTTTGTCATTTTATACAGTAAAATTGATGTTTTTGTTCATCATATATCCCAGGGTCCTCGTGGTCTGCCTGGCGAGAGAGGGCGCAATGGCTCTCCCGGAGCAGCAGTAAGTACAGTCATCCATTCCAATTGAGTAGATTGGGTTTACCAACAGATATCAATATTTTGCTCTAGACAATATTATGAACAAATGAACCAGGAGTAGGGGTACACCATTCAATGCTTCGAGTCTAGCCCATGGTCATTCAAAAAGATCATGGCTGATCTGATTTTAACCTTAAATCCACATTCTCGCCTATCCCTGATAATCTTTCACCACCTTGCCTTAACATCCATCCCATCAAGACTCAGGATCTTATATGTTTCAATCAAGTTAGCTCCAACGGGTGCAAACCTAGCCTCTCCAACTTTTCTTTGCAGGACAACCTGCTAATTTGAGATACTTGTCTGGTAAACTTTCTCTAAACTACTTTCAACACATTTAGTTCCTTTCTTAAATAAGGTGACAAATACTGTACGGAGTATGCCAGATGTCATCTCACCAGTGCCCTGTATAATTGAGTCATAATTTTGCACTCAATTCCCCTCATAATATATAGTAAGATTCTATTAACTTTCCTAATTATTTGCTGCACCGACATAATTACCTTTTCTGACTTGTGCACGAGAACACACTGATTCCCCTCTGTATCTCGGGAAGTTCCCACAGTTTAGACATATGTTTCCTTTATTATTCTTCCTGCCAAAATGGACAATTTCATATTTCCCACATTGAACCCCATTTGCCAGGATTTTACCTACTCACTTAATCTATGTACATCTTTCCGGATCCTCATTATGGCCCCTTTGCAATTTGCTTTTCCACCTATTTTTATTCATCAGCAGATTTGGGAACCATTCCTTCTGTTCCTTCAGTTAAGACATTGAATGTAAATTGTAAATAGTTGTAAATAGCACGTTGTTCATTAAATCCTGCCAACCTTAAAACAACCAATCTATGTCTACTGTCTGCTTGCTGTTGATGAAACAGCCTTTTCTTCATGCCCCTATCTCACCCACACATGCGTGCGTGCACGTACGCGCAAACACACACACACACACACACACACACAGACACACACAGACACATACACACACACATTTATTTTCCACAATAACCTCTGTGGCACCTTATCAAATGCCTCCTGGAAGTCATAATACAGTCCATTTACAAGTTCCCCTTTATCCATAGCCCATGTAAATTCCTGAAAACACTCCAATAGGCTGGTTAAACATCACTGACAATACATTACGTTAGAAAATTAAAGGAATCCTGTTGTCCAATATCATTGTGGAAGTAATAATTATAATAATAATAAATAATTAGGATTAATATGGTCTGAAAACTGAAGCAGGAGTTTAATATTAATACTTAACATTTTGAGGAACCTCAATTTTTCATTTTGATAATATTTGTGATTTAATTCTATGAATTTTTCCCTGATTATTTCCTGTAATTACATTTAAATGTCATCTTATCCTTAATGCTTTCCAAAGAAAATATGCTCTGAACATGAAGTTACTTTTTCTTAAGGGTACCCGTGGTCATGATGGCCGTCCTGGTAAAGATGGCGCACCTGTAAGTAAAGTGTTGTTTTCTCTACTGTAATTCTAATATACACATTTATTTCCTAAAATCAAGTATTCATTATTTTGTTCAGATGCATGTGTATAAAACTTTGCTTTTTGTTTCCATTTAGGGCTCTCCTGGACCACCTGGTACACCTGGTTTTCCAGGTCAATCAGGAGCTAAGGTATCTTGGCCAATCAGCATTTTACAGGATTGACATTGTAAAAGTAACACCTTTAAATAAAGACATGCAATTACTTGCAATACATTCAAGTTTTTGGCTGATTCAGATTATTAATGGAGCACTTAGAATCTATCCCTGTGTGGTGGCTCAGTACTTAGCACTGCTGCCTCACAGTGCCAGGAAGCCAAGTTGGATTCCATCCTCGGGTAACTGTGCGTGGAGTCTACCATCTACAGGTTGGGTGGATTGGCCATACTAAATTGCCCATAGGGATGTGCAAACTAGGTGGATTAGCCATGGGGAATGCAGGGTTATGGGGACAGGGTAGGGGCTGGGTCTGGGTGGGATGCAGGCCAGAGGATTAGTGTGGACATGAGATGCCAACTAGCCTGCTTACACACTGTGCGGATTCTATGATATTCTAATCCTAGTTTCTAGCACTTGGCCCATAGCCTTTTATGCTGTGATAATGCAACTGCACATCTAAATATTTCTTTCTTGGAGCTTCATCCTTTCCTCTATCCAACAGGTATGAGGTCCTGCCTGCCTAAATGGATGAAGAGCTGTTATGTGGGGGAATGATGAGTAATGTAGTAGAGGGAGCGAAAAGCATGGTCAGGAGAATAGGTTTTGTTTTCTGCACCTGTGAGGTGTAGAATTTGAAGATTATGTTGCCTGCACAGTATCAGTCTTAAGGACATCTCCTCAAGACTAGAATGAACTTGGAATGGGAAGAGTTGTTGGGGTGGTAATCTGATATTTGTCTCTCCTGTAGCATGTGTGGACTTCCGCTGTACACCTCTCTCTTATTTGTCATCACATGAAACAAATTGGACTAGATGTGATTTAAAACTTGATTTTGTTTCTTTGAACTCCTACAAAGTAACTCTGGTTTTATTCCACCATTGTGTCCCAGGTAATGTCTACCTGTGGAGGCTGTTGTGGGATTGGTCTCTTCCCTTTTACCTTTATGTTAGGAATAGGTTTTTTTGCCAACCGGTCCCACTTTCCCAGGAAAACTAATGCTCTCAGGTGTATTATCAGCTTCTATGACACTTCTTGTGGCTATTTCACTAAGTGAGGCTCCATCTTCATTTGTTCTCTAAGGACTTATTGAGCCTGCCTTTAAATTTTCCACAAAGGTATCGATTAACCAAATCTCTTGCTCTATTCTGTTATCTTTTTGTCAACTTCCCTGGCCTTTTCTTATCTTCCCTTATGCTATTCTCCTTTGGGTTCAGCCCTGACCCTTTCTGATAATGTTGACCTGCCTTCTGCCCAGTTTAGTTCAAGTGGCCATTCCTGGGCCACATCAAATATCACATGTTTTATTCTCCCAGTAGAACGTCCAAATCTCTCTCAGTTCCTGGCCTTGCATTCTGTCCTGACTCTTCCTATACTTCCAGTCTATCTTCAACCCTGTCTAATTCTGATGGCTCTTCTTGAGTCTGCTCCGCGCTCACGGATTTTGCTACTCCCTTTGGGGCTTCTAATCTCTTTCAGTTCCCACCCTTTTTGCTTCTTGTTGTTGGCTTTCTCCAGCCTTTCCATTCTCTCTATCCTGACCTTTTGTGTTTAGCCCAAAGCCTGTCAAATTGTACCCCACTATAATTCCTTTCTTTCTAATTAGAAACCTTGGGACTGTTCCCATAATCAGTTTACTCCACATTCTTTCACATGAGCCTTTTGATCAACATGTTGGAATTTATCTTGCTTTCAGGTGAAAAATCTTTTATTTTCTCCACTAGCAAAATCTGAGAGACCTGGAATCTTCAAGAAAGCTGATTTAACGTTCTGGTCAGACTTTCTTTTGATAAAATTCCTGACAGATATCAAGGTCAATAGTCATGCTTAAGGAGACACTGACCATCTTTAATGATACAGACACTGATTTTGTAACTTGAATTTCTGTGGATTGTTGAATTCACCAATTTTCCACTCCATGCCCTGATATCCTGCAAATGAGGCATTGGTACGGTTCCCTACATGTCTCCATCCAGTTCCCTTCTTTCAACACTCGGTGACTGTTCTTTTCTCTCTCTCTAGCTTGTCTTTTTTCTCTTCATCTTGTCTCAGGGGTATTTACCTCACTTGTATCTCTCTTTGGTCTATGACAGTTTCCAGATACCAGTTTTCCTGAGTTAATGGACTATGTGTTCGTTCATTGTTGTCAGCTAGAGCAGCTGCCTATGTGAGCCGTGCCACCCTCTATTTGTCTGCATGCATCCAGATTGGGTAGGGGTTGAGTGTTGGGACTGTAATTACAATTTCTTCACAATTGGACATTACTGTGTTAGAAATATTATTAATCAAGAAACAAGAGGAGCTTGTGACAAATGTAATGCAATAATTGTTGAGGACCTTATAAAAAATGGACAAATCAACAAGCATAGATGGAGAACAGATTCACAGAAGGCATTTAAGATGATTTTCTATAACCACTCATTAGGGAACCAAACAGGGGAACAGTTATCTTAGATCTCGAGTTTTTGTGATTTTGTATCCATTAGAGTTTACAAAAGTAAGAGGTGATTTGATTAGAATATACAGATCTTGGAGGGTCGTGACAGGATATTGCTGTAGAAGGGATGTTTCCTCTGGTGGGAGAATCTAGAATTAGGGGTCACTGTTTAAAACTTAGGGATTGCCCTTCTAGGGCAGAGGTAAGAGATTTTGTTTTTCTCTCAAAAGCCCGCAGGCCTTTGAAATTCTCCTTCTTAAGTTGGTGAAGGTAGAATCTTTGAATATTTTAAGGCAAAGGTAGATAGATTCTTGATATATAAAAGGGTGAGAGCTTACTTGGGGTAGGCAGGAATATGGAATTGAGGTTAAAATCAGATTAGTCATGATCTTATTGAATGATAGACCAGGTTTGAAGGGCTGAATGACCTAATCCTGCCTCAAATGAATGAACTCATGTAATAAGTAATTGCCATTACTGAATTCCCCACCATCAACATTCCTACATATCAGCATTGACTAGAAGCATAGGAAAGATCATGTCTGACCAACTTGATTGAGTGTTTTGTGGAGGTGACAAGAATGATTGATGAGGAAAGTGCAGTGGATGTTGTCTACTTGGACTTTAGTAAGACATTTGATAAGCTACCTCATGGTAGGCTGGAACAAAAGGTAGAGTCTGATGGGATCCAGGGTGTGTTGGCTAGCTAGATACAGAGCTGACTTGGTCATAGAAGACAGAGAGTAACAGTAGAAGGGTGCTTTTTAGAATGGAGATCAATAACTAGTGGTGTTCCACAGGGATCAGTGCTGGGGCCTTTGTTGTTTGTAATATATATAAATTATCTGGAAGAAAATGTTGGTTGTCTGATTAGTAAGTTTCTGGATTACACCAAAATTGATGGAGTTGCCAATAGTGAGGAAGACTGTCAAAGGATACTCACTCAGAGATAGTAAGAACTGCTGATGCAGGAGTCAAAAATAACACAGTGTGGAGCTGGAGGAACACAGCAGGCCAGGCAGCATTAGAGGAGCAGGAAAGTTGATGTTTCGGGCCTGGACCCTTGGGTCTGCTCTTGACCCTTGACTTGCTCCCCTGATGCTGCCTGTCCTGTTGTGCTCCTCCAGCTCCACACTGTGTTATCTCTGTCAAAGGATACAGCAGGATATAAACAGATTACAGATTTAGACAGAGAAATGGTAGATGGAGGCTGAGGGGATGATCTGATACCAGTCTACAAAATTATGAGATGCATAGACAGAGGCTTTTTCTCAGGGTGGAAAGGTCAACTACAAGAGAGCACAGGTTCAAAGTGAGAGGAAGAAAGTTTAGGAGTGAAGTGCGGGGCAAGTTTTGCCACACACAGGGTGATGGGTACCACCTGCCAGTGGAGGTGGTGAAAGCAGGCACATTAGCAACATTTAAGGCATATCTTGAAAGAGACATGAACAGGAGGTGAACAGAGGGATAGATATCACGCATGGGCAATAAGTAGCAGATCTAAATAAGGACTAGGAATCAGCACAGGCTTGGTGGGCCGAAGGGCTTGTTACCATGTTGTATTGTATTGTATTATTATTGTTAACTTCTTATTGCATCTTAAATTCCAAACCAGTTCTGAAGAAGGGTCATAATGAACTTGAAATATTAATTCTGGCTCTGTCTCCACAGTTGCTGCCAGACCTGCTGAATTTCTCCAGCACTTCTGTTTATATTTCTGATCCAGCACATAGAGAATTTTGCTTTTATTTGAGATAACTGCTCCTTGGTGTATTATCCATGGCAATGGGTGGTCTAGGCAGAAACCACTTGTTAACCAGTCAGCGCCCTCTTTGTCATGCAGTATAAATTGTTGTTCCCTTTCAAAATTTGCTATTGCATCTGTCCTGAACTGCCAAGCACCTACAGAATTAAGTGTTACTTCTCTGAAAGGTGATCAGTTGTTTGAAGTGGTAGGCTTTAGGTGAAAAGAGATAATATGTTTTCAATGTCAAACTGAACATGGCCTTAAAGAAAAATATGCAATTTATTTCAATTGTTGTACATTAGAGAAGTGGACTAGATGAACTGGTGGTCCCCCAATTTTAACAGAATTTATCTCAGTTGATATTAGTGGTGTGGAATGGAACCACTGATGCCTTTTGATTTCATGATTAAGATCCAGTCATCAAATAAGCAATGGAGACAGATTAAAGAGATAACAAAAGAAAAGTCACTGAAACTGAAATGTTAATTTGGCTTTCTCTCTATAGATGCTACCAGATCTGCTGAGTTTTTCCAGCAATTTCTGTTTTCATTTGTGATTTTCAGCAACCTGCAGTCTCTTGTTTTCTTTTAGATTAAAGAGATACATTGATACATGTTGATTCAGTATCCATATGATCCAGCAGAGGACTATTCCTACCTGACTTAAAGGAAAATAATAGCTAATAGTTTATATTTGGCTTCTAAGAGAGAACCTTTGGGCATTTTAAAAGAGCTTGACGGTATCTGGAAATATATGGGGATTCTCTTCAGGCCATGACAGGATTTTGCTTGACAAGCCCTTTCATTGTGGTGGAGTGTGGTCATGGATGACCCCCCAATTGAAGTTTAAAACGGCACTAAAAATGATGCGGGATCCTGGTGGAACTGGTTTCTGCAAATAATTACAGGGCTTTTAATATGTGCCTGGGACCTTGCAGGCTGACTAAATGAGTATTGCTGGGAACAGCAGTGCTGGCGTTCAGCCTCACTTCTGCTTCTGTTTTAGTTGTGTTGGCATTGAAAACCAACAGCTGTATATCACACATTAGCACGGATTGAGCTAGCTAATGCCATTGTGGGACACTCCTACTAATACAATGACTGCAAATAAGGCACAGACGGGAATTCCAACACGTGTTTGAAACTCTTGGAAGTGGCAGAGACTCTGTGCATGGGTTTCTCTGCAGTTGCACTTGTTCCTTATCCGTTACAGCACAGGACCAGTGAAACCAAAACCTGAAGCACTCTGGCGCCAATCCAACAGGAAGAATGAGAAACCTCTGCCATGCATTATATAACGCCAGTATTTAAGAGTAAATGTTAGTCCCTATCTTGTCAGCTTGGATTTTTTTTTGATTCAGCTGAATTACCCAACAGATCACACTGTTCTCAAAGCATTCCTTTTTCTTCTTCCAATGATGTATCTTGCAGGGTGAATCTGGTGAACGAGGCTCTCGTGGTTCTGATGGGACTCCAGGATTAAGGGGTGAACGAGGTCCTCAGGGCCCTGCTGGAATATCAGGCCCACCTGTATGTAAATAATGATCCACTTTAACCCTTTACACCTGCTTTTCAGTCACCGATTGATAATTGATAGAAAAGTCAAAATATTACCTGACAGCCTGCTCTTCATTTATATTTCAGGGGAAATCTGGAAAAGATGGATCGAGCGGTGCTCGAGGTTTACCGGTCAGTTAGAACAAAAGTAAAGTAAAGTGTTAATTAAAGAGTAGAGGATTCAATAAATATTGTCTTCTCTCATTGTTTTCACCTACCTCTATCTTGCCAGGAAGAATAGAGGTGTAGATTATTTTCTAAATGGGGAAAGGGTTCGGAAATTTGAAGCTCAAAGGGATTTGGGAGTCTTAGTTCAGGATTCTCTTAAGGTAACCATTCAGTTTCATTTGGCAGTTAGGAAGGCAAATGTAATGTTAGCATTCATTTCAGAAATACAAGAATATAAGAGCCGGAAGAACTGCTGAAGTTATATGAAGTTCTGGTCAGGCCACATTTGGAAAATTGAGCAGTTTTGGGCCCTCTGTCTAAGGAAGAATGTCCTGGCCTTGAAGGGGGTCCAGAGGAGGTTTACAAGAATGATCTTGGGGATGAAAGACTTGCCAGACGAGGAGCGGTTGAGAAATCTGGGTCTGTACCCTGTGGAGTTTAGAAGGATGAGTGGGATCTCATTGAAACTTAAAGAAAACTGAGAGGCCCGCATAGAGTTGACATGGAGAAGATGCTTCCGTTCATAGAAGACACTGGGACCCGAGGGCACAATCTCAGAGTGAAGAGACAATCTTGAGAAATGAGATGAGAAGGAATTTCTTCAGCCAGAGGGTGGTGAATCTGTGGAACATATTGCTGCAGAAGACTGTGGAGGCCAAGTAATTGAGTCTATTTAAGACAGAGATAGATAACCTTTCGATTGTAAGGATAATAAGTGTTATAGGTAGAAGACTGGAGAATGGGGGTTGAGAAAGTTAACACCAGTGATCAAATGGCAGAGCAAACTCGATAGGCTGAATGGCCTAATGTTGCCCCTATATCTTATGGACCTAAATATAAGTTAACAAAAGCCAGGCCAATTGCCTTGATGCAAATTACTATTTTTCCATGATAGAATGGATTGGGTAATAATTGTATTGTAACTGCCTTGATTGAAGAAAAAAAAGAAAATGTTTCCTAATGTCTTATAGAAGAATGCAATGGATCTATTAATTTTCAATTTAATAGTTCAGTTTTTAATTCTTGCATGATTTTGCATGAAGGATTGAGAAGTATGAGCAGCATAGATACCTGAACAGAAACTGGATTCACACCATTTTCTTTCCATTACAGGGTCCTCCAGGTACACCTGGCAGTCCTGGTGGACCAGGTCCAGTTGGCATCCAAGGTCCAGCAGGTACTAATGGAGTTCCAGGTTCCAGAGGTCTACCAGTAAGTGTTTGCAAAGATTATGTTATTTTAGTATGCAGGGGAAATTTCACGCTCATCATAAAAGTGGTGTTTTGTTCACATTATTAAAACAAATGCTCATACAAATATAGTATCATGAATTGAGGAATGATTGTTAGACACAAATACAGGATAGGAATAAATGGGTTCAACTTTGTAATCAGCGGGGGACAAGAAGAATCAATGCTTATGCCTCGGCTATTTGCAATCTACATCAAATGTTGCAAAATTAGATGAGAAGTTAAGATTGTGGATAATGCAAGGTGATTTCAGGTAAGATGGAGAATGTTGCTGATGAATTCAATGTGTGAAATTATCAATTTTGGGAGCTATGCAGCAAAGCAGAATTTGTTTGAATGATGAGAGACCTGGAAATACGAAGGTATTCAGAGAGATCTGTTGTCCTTGTGTACGAATCTCAGGAAGTTGACATGCTTGTAAAGAAAGCACTTCGGAAGTCAAAAAGCCTATAAGCCTTAATTGCCACGGAAATTGAATATAAAAATGAAGAAGTCTGATTATATTAGCCAGGACTTTAGTAAAACCACACAAATATGCTTACTTTTCGTTTTCTTTCCTAAGTAATGATATAATAGCCTGGAGAGATTGCAATGCATGCTAATTAGATTCATTCCTGGGATACAGGAGATTGAGAAAATTGGAAATGTGTTCCTTGGAATTTGAAAGAATGAACGATGATCTTATTGAATCATGTAAAATTCTTGGAAGAGTTGAGAGGATGTTTCTTCTTACTGAGGAATCTAGAATTAGGGGTCACAGTTTCAGAATGCAAAGTTGATATTTAGGATTGAGATTGTTCTGAGTTCACAGGACAGCACCCTTGAGTGGAATGTCCTTATTGAACCAGCTGTGTGATGCTTGCCTGCAGTGAATGTGCCCCATAGGTGAAGCCAAATGACAATGCAAGCTTGGAAGATCTTTTGTACAGGGTTTTATTTCGACCTTTTCATAACAAACAGCAAAATAACAAATTTGCATGCACTATTATTTGTAACTGTGCGTTATCCAAGCCATGAGGGTTCTCATCTATTAACAACTGTTTGTTATTCCATTCAGTCCCACCCTCCATTTATTTTCATGCATGACATCCTTTTGTATATTTGAGTTTTGCCATGGTCCACATGCAGGTCGTCAGTTTTTCCTCCAACATCTGCTGGTTCGAGTGATGTGCTCTCTGGTTTGGTTCCAATATCTTCGTAGCTGACGCTGCTGATTTATGTTTTAGGCATCTTTTTCATTTAGTTCATTATACAGGGAGGCAGTGGCATTGTGATAAGTCACTGGACTAGTAATCTGAAAAACAAGGCTGATGTACGTGGAAATTATTTCGATCCCACCATGAACTGTGCATGTCATAAAATTTGAATTCAATAAAAACTAGAAGTAAAAGCTACCATAATGGTGACTGTGTAATTATGTCAATTGAGATTAAAATGGATTTCGTACACTGATGTGCCATCCTCACCTGATCCAGTGACTTCAGACCCACAGCAATGTGTCTGACTTTTAACCGCCCTCTGAAATGGCCTGGCCTGTTGTATCAAATCACTATGAAGTCTAAAAGCACTGGATGACTCGATGATCCAAAGCACAGCAGCAGCCTAATACATCAGCTCACTACCACATTCTCCAGGCAGTTAGATTTGGCATTGAGTTGTCAGTGACACACAGATCCCATGAACTAATAAAAGAAATCTGTGTCTGACAATGTTTCCTTTGTGGCCCTGAATTAGAATCCTTTCTGTTGCAGTCTGTTCATTAAGCTGTCAATGAATGCAAAACAATAAACCTCTTCTGCAATATTTAGGGTCATAAATCCAAGCTTTCAACTTGCTTCTGCCAAGAGGAATGGCTTTAGCATTGTGTCTAATATCTGGAATTTCAGATTTTCAATCTTGTCGTAGCATTAAGCTCAGATGCCAATTTTTTTCAATTGGAGTGAACATCGTTCCAACACAGAATGTCAATTTTATCTTTTTTTTTGTATGTGTACCTTGCTTTAGGACAGTTCACATTTAAGGACTCCATGTGCTTTCTGAATACAATGTTGTGACTATGTCTGACAGTTAGTAGCAATGGCTTTTCAGACTGCATACATACAGAAATCAATTGGCCTACTGTAACACTGCTTCATATCTTTTGTGCTTTTCCTTTTATATAAACTAACACATGGATTTTATCAATCCCTGATGAATGATTGATAATCAGGCAATTATTATTAACATGGCATGGGAATTTGCATTGGAAAGTACAAATCTGGTGGGGCCTTTTTTGCTTGAAGTCTCAGGAAACACATTGATCTATACCTGAAACACATTGTTGAACATCTTAAATTATGTTAGACTGCATGAGATAACCCTTGATATTGTTGTTCGTTCCAGCATCAAAACATCATTTGCTGGTAAGCAGACAAATCTCTCTGAACACAAGTTTAATTCACTTGAGCAAAGCAAATGAACAGGGTGAATACTGGATCAGTTGCAAGTCAGGGAAGGTGAAAAATATGTTGTCAGAATGTCCACAAAATTCCCAACATAAAATTGGACCACAGCAAACTTCCCAACAGGCCTTAAAATAATTAACCACAATTAAGAGCCATGGTTTCTAGATTCAGATGCATCCAATGTAGAAAAACAAACCATTAAAATTTGTCTAGTGATTGACATTGAGTATCTACACAGATTTCACACGAGGAGTAACAGCTAAAAAATTAAAAGATCTCAAAGATATGGACTACATTAGAAGACCATTTCAAACTTCTGTATTCATCAACTAGAATTCATGCCATTTAGACAGGGATCTGCAGAATCTATAGACCATTTCATGTGCAGATGCAGAGTAAAGCTCATTTTGTGATTTTTTTTCTGACGGGGAGCTAGCAAACAGAATTGTTGAGTTAGTGATTGCCTTCACCTGCATGAAAGCTTTCCAGAAAGATTTGCTAGACACATGGAAGATTTATAATTTTCAAAAGCTGCTGAAGGATGGGCACAAGTATAAAACAATCCTTGCAGGTTAACTAAGTTTACAAGACCTAAGTACAACATTTACAATTGGCACAATCGCTAGAGCTCTCAAATAGAGTGTGGAAGGTGTGACCTTCTGCATGCACCAAAGAGATGCTGAGTTTTCAGTCAATGTTGAAAGGCATCTGACAGTAAAGGCCATTGGCAGAGGCAGTGCATGAGAGCAAAGATACAAGATACAAAGAGCAGAGCACCAACCCAAACAGACCAAACACAAGGAATACCTTTAAGCTACAATAAAGACCATCTCTTATTCCACCAGAGATGTATGCAAAAGTGATTAACAAACCGGAATTTAATGATGCAGACAGCGAAACAAAAATTGAACACATGATTCACACTATTAATCTTGTACAAAAACTCAGTGTCATCAAACTGCCAAAATGTGTATGAAAATTCAAATCCTGTCAGAAAACTGCTTACTATTCTTTATTGACTTCAATTGACACAGGGCCAAATATCAATCTACTACCGCTGCAAATCTTTTTGTGGAAAAGGAAGCAGACTGAATAGCAAGCTCTGTATTATCAATTTAATGAGAAGATTGCTGATTTACAGAAAGATCTGGAGTAACTTGCACATAAAGCAGATCATACTGAGCATTAGCAGATTTAGAAATATCATCTTGAGCTCAAGGCGATACGTCTGCAAAACAAGTGGAAATGCACAAACAAGGGGCTGAAAATCACTCCTGAAATGATCCTTTCAGTGAAAAAAACTTCCATCAATGATGGTCCAGCGAAAAAACTAAAGCAGGATATAGATGAAACCATCCAACCACTGACGCAGGAAATGTCAGTGTTCAGGCTTTGAAGAAAACAAGCAAAAATTTTGAAGAGGTTCGACAGTTATTAGAGCAGGTTATAAAGTCGAAAGTATACTTGACCAACATGAGGCTAAAACTTTGTTGGTATTGGAAGAATCCAGAGTGTAAAACTAGAAGCTTTACAATTAACTGGAAGCTCTTAAGAAACAAAACAGTAAATGCCAAGAAGATTTGACCCGCTTGAAACAGCTTTAAGGAATGGGATCAGTCAATGCCTAATCTGAAACAAAACTTGGCTATAGTGCAACAGGATAAACATGTTCTGAAACAGCAACTATAGTCCATGAAGGAAAAAAAGTCTTAACAATGCAAACAGGAACATAATATCATTGATGGCCGTGGGCAATAAACAGCACCTGCACACAAAATTACCATCATGAGATCTGGAAGTGTCAGAAAATTAACTATACATTATTGAGAGCCATAAACTCATTTGTTATTGTGTCTATTTAAAATTTTCATTTGATAAAGAAGGGACAGTTGGATGTATGCTTTGCCTTTAATGAGTTCACCTTTAAAGGTCTCCATATGGTAGGCATGACTTGTGGACAGAATTACCACCCAAGATTGACTCCAACAGTAGGCCTCATGACTGATAGTAGATTTTCTGCTTAGAAAAATTCAAGCCTCCTCAATTTCACACAACGCTCGAACACCACTCCCTTCTGATTCTAAAGACCTCATGAGGCCTCCCACGGGGTAACAGTGCATAAAATGTTCACCAACACTGTAATAGCAAATGAATATCAAAAATCCTGAATGTTCCACAATGATGTATTTAACTAATACGAGTGCAAAATCCTTCAAGTGACTGAAAACGTTCAACATTCAGGATTTACAAGAGAGCATTTAAACAAGAGAAATGCAAGGTCAGGCACCAAAATCAGTATTAGACATTGACTGATAGTCTAGTCTATCCACTCTGCAGGCTCACATTATCCCTCTTACAAGTATGGTCATTTGTAGGCTTCACCAGGCATCTTGTTGCAAGTGCAAGTTAGCCAGGCAGTTCAGACTGGTCTTGCTGAGATAGTACAGTCTGAAGCCAGCCAAGGTTCAGAACAACCTGAGGGCTTTCTGCAAAGCTGCATGGAATCTTTTCCATTGACAGTCAGCAGCCTTGAGCCAATATGTTGCAGAAATGGAGTACAGCAATGTGGAAGTACTTAGCTGGGCAAAGACACTCTTGATAGAGGTGCAGATTGATTACTTGAGTTTAGTATGCATTATTGAAGAAGTGCTGCTGGATAAAATTATGAAACAGTTGTTTCGTATTAGTTTATGTCTGAATTTTGGCCACAAGAAGGCTTTGGTAGTTTGTAACAATGGAATGGTATGTTTGGAAATGTTGATGAACAAAGGTTTGAGCTAACAGAACTGGATTCTGAAGATTTGCTCACAAATAACTTGTGTGTACTGTAGATGTGCCAGCTTCCTCGTACATTCATTCTCTGCCCTCTCCTCCTAAATTGATCATTGAATCTCAAGTAGCAATGCTTACACCTTCAGAATGGGCACAGGCTACCAACATCAGGTCACCTGATCCAATGAGTACTGGAGAGCTTCTTCCAAGAAGTTAAGGCAGTGGAACCTTGCTTCAGGGTGCCATTAATCTACTTGATGATGCTCCTTATATTGTACAGTCATGTATGTCACAGTTACAGGGAAGAGTTGTCAGCCACTTTGTACAGTGTTCTACAGTGAACAGTTGCTGAGCAACACCTTGCCTGGTTTTACATGGTGCCTATGACATTGCTGTCGCAGGTTGAAAGCATTACGACCGCTGCCATGACAGTGGGCATTCATCAGTATTATGATATTGTGACTGTAATACCACATCAACAGCACACAAACAGAGTCATAGCTCTTGTGGTTATGATACTTCTGTATATTGACAAGGTTATCCATTGTTAATAATGTTTAGGCGTGACAATCTGTTTATTTAGAAAGTGCTTTGTCAAATATTAATGGAATGAATATACAAAATACTCAAGCTCAATTTGAGTGTATTTGTAACTACCTTGCATCATTTTAAAGCACTAGGGTTTAAAATCGTAATGCAGTTCAGTATGCTTTAATGGAAAAAATTCTATGTTTCTCATCTGTTCTTATTGACGTGTTGACTTTTACATTTTTCCTGACATCATTTTTGTAGAGGTTAGCTGTAAATTACATTATTTGCATTCAAAATGCAAAAATAATTCCTGATTCAGAATATAATTTCACCTGGCTTGCTTTGCAAAGAAGAATTTCTACCATTATCAATTTTGTTTTCTAATTGGAAGCTCTTCACTTTCTTAGGGCGAATCTGGAAAACCTGGAGCAAAAGGAGACCCTGGTCCAAAGGGTGAATCTGTAAGTTTATTTATTTTGTACCTTCGTGTCTGAATTAAGGAAATAAATTGAATAGCCAAACTTTTGAATTGGGGTAAATTTTATTAGACTATTTAAATAATGGTTCTGACTATTGCAGTTTATGCCAATCTTATTAGAATAATGCAATAAGTCGGCAAATCTAAGTGGACTTTGAATACCTTTTGTGTTTTAGTATGCCTTTTTATGAGTCTACGTTTTTTTGTAGTGCAGCAGAAAATAGTCATTTAAAAAAAACACTGATAAGCCACTTCAGATCTAGTGATCTATACTTACTTTTGTTTGGGGGAACAATCTGGCTGGGAGGGTGAATAGCTGTTAATGGAGACTATTACTGGTTAACAATAGGTGGTGTGTAATGGCAGACTATGTGATAACAAGATCTGGTGTGTTGAGTAGAGGGCTAGGAGATGGAAGAGCTCAGGCCCTAAAATTATTGAACTCGATATTGAGTCTGGAAGGCTGCTGGGTCCCCAAGTGGAAAACGAGGTGTTCTTCAAGCTTGCATTGATCTTCGCTGGAACACTGCAGCAAGCCTGAGACAGAGATGTTAGCCAAGGAACATGACGGTGCATTAAAGTGGCAGGCAGCTGGAAGTTCAGCATCATTTTTGCAGGCAGAATGTAGATGTTCTGTGAAGTGGTCACCCGGTCTACTCTTCATTTCTCCAATGTAGAGGAGACCACTTTGTGAGCAGTGAATGCAGTAGACTAGGTTGTGTGAAGTGCAGATGAAGTGCTGCTTCACCTGGAAGGTATGTCAGGGGTCTTCGATAGCGGGGAGGGAGGAGGTAAATGGGCAGGTGTTACACCTGCGGTGGTTGCAGCAGACAGTAGCCTGGGGCAATGGGAGGGTGTTGGGTGTTGATGAGTGGACCAGGGTGTCCCGGAGGGAATGGTCCCTGTGGAAGGCAGACAAGGGAGGGAAGGGGAATATGTGTCTGGTGGTAGCATCTCACTGTAGGTGGTGGAAATGACAGCTAATGATCTTCTGGATATGGATGCTGGTGGGATGGTAGGTAAGGAGAAAGGGAACCCCGTCACTGTTGTGGGAGGGAACAGCAGGAGTGTGGGAGGTTGGTCTGACCTGGTTGAGGGCCCTGTTAACAATGGTGCTGGGAAACCCTCGGTTGAGGAAGAAAGTGGACATTTTGGAGGCTCCCTCAAAGTTGGCCTCATTGGAACATGTACGACAGAGACGGAGGAACTGGGAAATGGAATGGAGTCTTTGCAGGAAGCAGGGTGTGAGGATGTATAGTGCAGGTAGCTGCCTGAGTCAGTGGGTTTATAGTAGATATTAGTGGCCAGTTTATCCCCAGAAATGGAAACAGAGACGTTGAGGAAGGGAAGGGAGGAGTCAGAGATAGACCAGGTGAAAATGAGGGTTGGGTGGAAATTGGAAGCGAAATCGGTGAACTTTTCCAAATCCAATAAGCTGCCATGCTCATTTTAAAGCAACTACCAGGATTCGGTACATTACAAAGAAAAGAGATACAATCTCAGTTCTTACATGGGTGAAAAACTAAGCAAAATGCATATTGTTCACTCTCAAATAATCTACAAAAGAGTACACTAAATTGCTAAGATCTATTTCACACTTTAAGCATGTGCATTTCTCTTCCTGCTAGGGAACACCTGGAAATCCAGGTGCTCCTGGTCCCACTGGTGAAGAAGGTAAAAGAGGTCTCCCTGGTGAACCTGGGCCAATTGGTGCAACGGGCATTCCTGGCGAGAGAGTAAGATAAAATTGATGTCATACATTCTTGTCTATGGTAAATATGTAACAGTTGGTCCCAAGTTTGGGCCACTACACAGCGATAGTTGAAATTGGAGCTTTCTATATAAGCATCTATGTTCATAAGATAGGTTCACATGCCTAACTGCTGTGTATTTGTGAAAAGTATTGGGAACAATACACCAGTGATGTTTGTATTCCCTGGAATATAGAAGGTTATAGGCTGAATTATCATATTTTAAGATGTTAACAAAACATATTATAAATAGAGCAACACTTTTTCTTTTGGTAAGATATTCTAATTCTAAAAGTGATAGCCTAAAAATTAGAGCTAGGTGTTTGAGGGTAAATTTAAGAAATATTTCTACGTGTAATAGATGGTAGAAATTTGGAATTCACTTTTATCAGCAGCATGCAATGCTGAATGAATTAATAATTTCATATTTAAAATTGATACATTTATGTTTCTGACAAAAAAAAACATAAGTTTGTTACACAAAAGACAAAATCAAAAACACAATGAACTGAGTTACCTAGAAAAAATGCACAGTTGGAAAATTCTTAAAACACACAGCAAATCAAACTTTCAACCTATTCCCCAACATATCACTTTACAGCAATTCAAACCTAGAGAAATTGCAACTCTATATAAGTTTGACTTAACTGATTCTCCCCAGTTTACATCCTGTGAATTGTTGAGTGGTTGACCATAAATGCTTCAAAATTGAGAGCTTAGGCTTCCTCACTTTTTGATAACCTGCAGATTTTTAAGCAACAAACAAAACAGAAATTGCTGGAAAACTCAGCAGGTGTGGTAGCATCTGTGGACAGAAAACAGGGTTAATGTTTCAGGTCCAGTGAACATTCTCAAGAAGGGTCACTGGACCTGAAACATTACCTCTGATTTCTTTCCAAAGGTGCCGCCAGAGCTGCTGACTTTTTCCAGCAACTTCTGTTTTTGTTTCTGATTTCTAGCGTCCATGGTTCTTTTGGATTTCCGAGCAAATTCTCTTAGTCAATAAATTGCAACAAGTAAACACACTTATCATTGTACTGTGTGGTGGAGCAAAAAATAAAGTATGGCATTGGACAGGCTACAACCCTGGTACCTCTGTTTACCCATCTTGTCTTTGTATCAGTTGATACCCTTAACAGACAAAAATATAGTAACGTCAGTCTTGGAAACTTCAATTTACGAAGCCTTTTGGGAGAGAATTCTAAGATTTCAACTATTCCATGTCAGAAAAACTCTTTCCAGATTTCACTTCTAAATAATCTTGTTCTAGTTATGTCAGGGTGTCCTTTCTGAATTCCTCCACCAGAGAAAATAATTGTTCTGTATTTATTTTTAATTCACTCACAGGATATAGCGAGGCCAGCATTTATTGCCCATCCCTAATTGCCCAGAGGGCAGTTAAGAGTCAGCCACATTGCTGTGCATCTGAAATCACATGCAGGCCAGCCCAGATGGCAGATTTCCACCCCTAAAGTACATTGTTGAACCAGTTTGGTTTTTCTGACAATGGTTTCACGGTCATCATTAGACTCTTAATTCCACATTCTTTATAGTAATCAAATTCTATCATCTGCCATGGCGGGATTTGAACCCGGGTCCCTAGAATATTAGCTGAGTTTCCGGATTAATAGTCTAGCAATAATACCTCCAGTCGATTGCCTCCCTTATATTTACCGTTCCAAATCCTTACATATTTTTAAAGATTTCATCCCTCAACTTTCTAAATTTATGGGACTACAAGTCACATCATCTAATATAAAACAAAGTACTGCGGATGCTGGAGATCTGAAACAATAACAGAAATTGCTGACAAAACTCAGCAGGTCTGCGGTTCTATGTTCTGAGCCTGGCAGATCAGAACTGGTGAAGAGTCACCGGACTCGAAATGGTTGCTCTGCTTTCTCCCTACAGATACACTCAGACCTGCTGAGTTTGGCCAGAAGCTTCTGTTTGTGTTTACTTTAGTCTAATCTGTCCTCACAAAGTAACTCGATAAACCCTGGTAAAACACAGTGAATCTGCTCTCCATCCGCTGAAAGGGATTTCCTGAGTGTACCTGAAACATCCACAGGCACTGCTGCAAATGTTAACCTGTTCCAGTGGCCTCCACAAATCATCATCACGTACCCTCCATCCATTTCAGGCTGGCTTCTTTTTTTTTGATCAGTTCATACTTTTCCCAAGTTTTAGTCACTCCATTTCTAATGGTGATTCCAATAACTTTCCCACAATTGATATATTCATAATATATTTTTGTGGACTTAGTTTAAAAATTAACGATAACTCTGATAACCAATACAATTCTTTTAATGCTCCTTTTTGAATCTCTAATTATGTCTTTGCATCCCTATATTTCTTTTTATAACACTTTCAGTCCAACAGGTTACCAATTTTCCATACCTATGTTCAACTTATTATAATCTTACCTTATTTGTAAAATATGCTTACAATATTACTACACGAGTGGAGCCACTTTTTAACAAGGATATGTTTGTTATATATCACACTAAATACTTGTACCATCCCAAATCTTAATGGCAGTACAATTATTTGTAGTTAATTATCTGTTTTATGGATCACTCTGGCTCAGTGGTGTACATGTATTAATGATACTGGAAACCTAACTTTTCTGTTCCTGGTTTTAGGGGCTTCAAGGAGTAAGAGGTGTCCCAGGTACAAGTGGCCCACCAGGTGAAAAGGTCAGAAGATTTTGTTATATCTAACTTCAGCTTTAATTTCTTTTCCTTGTTTTCATTTGGATAAATGTTTCTGAATATTTAATTCTGTGCTAACTGTTTTGTTAATAGGGTCCTGCAGGAGAAACTGGTCCACCTGGTCCCGTTGGGCCTAGAGGTGCTAATGGTGAATCAGGTCGACCTGGAGATGCTGGTATCCCTGGTCAAAGGGTAAGAAAAAAGACTTTGTTAAAGAAATAATAAGGAAAAAAATTATGGAAAATTAATTTCAGTGACAATTTGCATTTTATTCACTTGATTTCGAATTCCTTTTCTTTATATATAGGGACTTACAGGAAACCCAGGAAGCCCTGGTCCTGATGGTAAACCTGGACTACAGGTAATTTCAAGAAAGATAGCACTAGATAAAGAGCATTATTTTCCTCACTAATATCCAAATAAATATCTGCAAACCGAAGCTTCTTTTCATCTTGTTGGGTTTATAATTAATGAAAATATTGAAATCACCCAGCAGATTGTTACCTAGTCTGTTAGAAAGCCTAGTCCTCGTAATAAGTTTGTAACGATGGAGCAACACTAATCAATAGAGAATGATACAGTTAAAAATCAGTAGTGCTACCAGTAAAATGGTAGGTAAAACTTCTGTATGAATCTTCTGTACATTCCCATTAACTGTCAGAAATTGCACATTTTCTTTCATGTAAATGTGTATAGCTCTCTACCCACCATCATCCTTCAGTTCAAATGACAAAAAGAGCTGATGCTGAATGACATAAATTGCCATTAATAAAATATTGGTTGAGTGGCCAGCTGAATCAAATTTGCTCCCTTCCATTCAGTTATTCTTGAGAAATAACGTACTTCTCTCCACATTAAGGGTGGTTGTCATGTTGGAATTTATGAAGAAAAGGGTAAGGACAGATGTTAGTCTCAGGAACAAGAATAAGGAATTACTGTAATGAATAATGCAAACACATATAAAATAGTTGACAAGTCACCCGTTATTTAATTTATGGACTTTCATCAGAGGGCTCAGCTGGTAGCTGTCATGGTGGATTAAAGTGAGAGTAACCGTAGCAATTTAACTTGAGGAATGTCATGGTGGATCACCCCAAATATCACCATGCTGGCCTTGAACTAAGAGCGAATAATGGAGTGAAGTAATGGCTAATTTTACATGACGTTGCAAAGCGACACATCACACTAGAAGGGAGCACAGATTGGAGATGTGATGCTACAGTGGAGCTCTACGTTCTTGACTAGTGAGGCTTCAAAAGTAATAGCAGTTGCTGGCAAATCACTCTTTATTCTGTACTCGTGCTTGATAATGTTATATCCAACTTATCAATGATAAAACAGGAAGATTAAAGTACCCAAATATTGAGGTTTGAGTGGGGAGGGAGTCCATTCATGTGAAAACTGATACACTTTAAATCTACCTTATTTGGCGATTGTCAACATTCTGATCATAAATATCGGCTTGTTTCCTGGTTTTCTGTTCTACACTATCTGTTATGATGTATAAATGTTAATTATCTCTGCTGGTTGTTTATGAACAGTGATAATCATTTGTATGTACTTGGCAATGTTAATCTTCGTCTCCATTTTGTGTTTTTTAGACTGATCTTCCCTCTGTTACATATGTTTGTGTATCTAAAGGTGAATTTTATTCCTTTACAATTTACATTTTCACTGATAGGGTCCTTCTGGAGATCGGGGCCCTTCAGGTCCACCTGGCTCACCTGGACAAAGAGGTTCACCTGGTGTAATGGGGTTTCCTGGTCCAAGAGGGAATGATGTAAGTGCAAGTCATTTATAAAACATACCTGTTGTCATTCTTTCTGTTGGGTGCCATGCTTTGTTACATACAAGATGTATTATTATGCAAATGAAAACACAACTTTGGAGTCATGTCAGCCATAACATTGAAACCAATTGTGTCTGAACACCTTTAATTGGTGGAACTCTATTGCAGATAAAAGCTCAGATTTTTAAAAAAAAATCTCCACGCAGTCAACAGTGCCTCATGGATTCATATGGAATCTTTTAATGTCAGCAAAAAACTGGACACGTTAACATTGTTGCTTGATGCAAGAACACTGGAAAATAATCAATAGATAGATTGCTCAAAGAACTAGCACAGTAGAGATGGGCTGATTCGTCTTCTGTGCTGGAAGATTCTATTGTTGACTCTCTGAATATTAAAAATTAAGAAGCAAAAGAGCACACCTACGCAGGATTCTCGTAAACTACCAGGACATTGTTGGAAATTGCTATTGAACCACATTTAAAATAATATTTTTTTCTTTCTTCCCTCCACCCCCAACACACCAGGGACTACCTGGTAAAGCTGGCAATAAAGGATTAATGGGTAACCCTGGTCCACAGGTATGCAAATGTTGCAAATATTTAATTTCATTCTATTGAAAGAGACTCTTTGCCAATTGTTAATTATGCAAACCTTATTAGTACTTAAACTATATTGACAGGGTTTACCTGGAAAACCTGGATTAGTGGGCCCTCCGGGTGAGCCTGGCAAAGCTGTAAGTATATTTCTGAGTTCACTTTTTGAAACAAAAATAATTTTTCTCTATTTTAACCAGATTTATTTGAGCAGTTTCTTAACCTTGGTATATGACAATTAATATTTGTCTATTGAATCTGATGTAAGAAACATTCATTTGACAACACTGATTTAGCCACATTTATTGCCCAGCTCTTATTTACATAAGAGGGTTTTTTCTTGTAATGATTATTCTAACCATTGATTGCTTTGTTAAGCCACCTCAGAATATAATACAATCAACTGTGGGAATAGAATTGCATGTGAGTCAGATCAGGGAAGATGCTTAATGAAGTTTTAGAATAATCTAGCCACCTTTACAGTCAGTTGTCAACTAGTGCAAAAATTGATTAACAAAATTTTATGACTTGCCATTGTAGGATTTGAGTTACTGGGATATTTTTCTTGTACCTGTTGTCTGTATTAGCACAGAAATTGGATCATACCTGAATTGGGATGTGAACTGATGTTGACTATGCCATGCATCTAAACAGGGCATTGGTCTACCCATTTTTTCATTATCACCCAAACTGTCAGCACTGGTTATCCCCAGACACAGCTCTCTGGTTGTGGTTTGAGATGGAAACCAAGTAATTAAGTGCATTTCAGACTGAGATAGATAGGTTCTTGATTAGTAAGGGGATCAAGGGTTACAGGGAGAAGGCAGGAGAATGGGGTTAAGAATCATATCAGCCATGATCGAATGGCAGAGCAGTCTTAATGGGCTGAATTGCCTAATTTTGCTCATATATCATATGGTCATTTGGCAAGGTTTTGGAGAGTTGGCACAGTGCAGGTAAACAATGGCCTCAGCTGGTGATGGACCCAAGCTAAGGCCAGAAGAATGAGAAGTCAATGAGTATGGCAGGAGGAGTGGCAGCTGGGAGCTGCTGGCTGTGTTAGTGAGGAGCCAAGATCAAAGTTGAGCAACTTTACTTCTCCTGGCTCCTTATTAGAAGACTCTTTTTATTATTAGGAACTTATACCCTGGTGGTCCCCAGTGTATCCTTTGGGATCCTCACATCAGGTTGCATGGATTCAAGGTAATCCTGAATGCAACATAGCAGTCATTTTCTGATTTGATTCGAAACCATATATTAGACCAATTATGAACAGACTCAAAGACCATCATACCTGTTTCATTCAGGCACCAGGATGCCTTAACTGTGCCTATTCTAGAATGGGATCAGATGGTGCAATATGACTGTGTTCAGCCCCGCCTAACTGACCTCTGTGCCTATTTTCTGTCTGCTCCATTCTTCCCTGGTATGCTTTGTTGGACTGAAGAAATTATTAATAACTGGAATCCACCATCAAACCCCAGCCCCTGTTCTCCGAAATGGTCTCCATTTCTGCCTGTCTCCACAACAGTTGTAGCAGCTGATCAGATAGAGCTGAATGAAAATCCCATCATTATCTTTACTTTCCTTTGAAACTTTCATGATATGGAGAATTCCACTTTTGTTCTAGAAATAGTTTGTGTGGAAAAGTGATTCTCAATTATGACAAGGAGATGAATTTCAATAAATAAAGTCATCATTTATTGAATAGTATAAGCCTGTTATTTGCTTTGAACAAATGTATTCAGATAGTTCTTCTAAATATTTATGTAAATCTTTATCTTTTCTCAGGGTCCATCTGGTGAAAAAGGAGAGCCGGGTATTCAAGGATTTCCTGGTCTTCAGGTACAATTAATTTGATTAATTAATCACAATCAGCAATTGATTCAGTTATTTTGTAAGCATACAATGTGGTTTTAACCTTCTATGTGTTGATGGACTTCCTTAGGTATGCCATGAAATTAAAAGCATGCACTATCTAGTTTACTATGTGTTAAATGCACAAAGAAAAGGTTAAATATACTCTTCAGTTGAAGAATAGTCCAAAGCATTGGAGATAATTAGATTTGGGCTAAGGGATGGGTTGTACTGTGGAAGAGTAGAGTGTAAGAAAGTGTAAGGTAGAGAAGGGTTATAGACCTCCTGGAAAAGGTAGATGAGTGTTAGGTACCGGTTCTGAGAATAGAGGAACAGACCATGGCTATAGGTTGGCAAAAGAAAGCATGATTAGAGGTCAAAGGAAATAAGGTAAAGAAGGAATATCTTTATTTCCAAAAATCCTATGTCAATCAATAGCAATCTTAAAGTTTTTAGTGTTAATCATTACTCTATCTAGTGATACACAACCAGCCCATGATTTCTTTGCAGTGTTGGGGCAGCAGTAAAAGGGGAAGGTAAAACAGAGTGGCAGGGTAGGTGTGAACAGGAAGAAGAACAGCAGAGTTAGAGGGAGAGCAGGGGAAATATGGGATTGGGAGGATGAGATTGGTAACAGAGAGAAGACAAGTTTAGAGTAGAGAACAAAGGAAGGGAAAGCAGAGTGAATGGAGGGGAACAGGACAGGGAAGGGAAAAATTAGGCAGGAGAGAAGAGCAGCTAAGAATACATCTCCTATTTTAAACTTGATAAATAATATTTTTTTCACTCTCCAGGTTTAAATTTTAAATACAAGGCCACAATGTATTCTTTTTTAAATGCTAGATTCTGAATTTACAAAACATTTTTTTTCCCTTCTGGCTTTCAAAGTAAAAATAATTGATATGCATTGTACGGTGTGCCTTGATGCTAGAGGTTTCAACGATTCAAGGCTGTGGGAGGGACACTCCTGAGATGGAGAAATGGAGCCAAGTTAAAAACTGTGGTGTTTTGCTTTTGCATTTGTTAACTGAGGATGTTTTAAGGTGAGCTAGAGTCTGATGTTAGTCGGGAGTGACGATGCCTCCCTTCTTCCTCCTCCTCCTCCTGAAATGTCGAAAGCCTATTGGCAATGACTGAACCCTTGTGATTATAGAAGATGTAGACCACCACAAGTCTGGAGACACTTTCTATAGAGTACTGTGTGTCCAAGCAGAGAAACAGTTCTTGGAGAATGTTCTTTCATTCCTCACAGCTTTCTGTGTAAGAGCATTGTCGGAACCAGGAGCCACATGAAGATTGTGGAATTCTCGTCACCAAGTACCCATCCTCTGTTCCATACAGTGGCTGGGAGATGCTGGAATCAGCTAACTAACTCAAGATAAAAGCATCAATGCTGCTTTCAAGTTAGTAGGAATGCACCTACTTGGTAGCCCGTGTATGGCTGTATGCTAACTGCATATTCAGGGAGTGGAATTCCTGTGCATCTCCCCACTGAGCTGTGATGTCTACAGCCATGTGCAGACAATTGATAGCTCCCTGGAAAGCTTCCTTCTGCTTCTCTCTGCTTTGAGAGAAAATAATGAAGTTCCCATTTCCCAGTCTGACACAGCGACGCAGTAAAATGAGATGCTGTTGGTTCTAACCTGTAAGGAACCTGAAGCACAGAAATTTTGATGCATAGTAACCTTGACAGATACTGGCAATGCTGTCTCCACTCTGCTCTGTGGCAATGGGTGCCGTGCCAGGGGGTTGACGCAATCCAGCAAGCGCCTTGTTGATGAAGTGTAGATATCTCAATCAGTGCTCCTAACTGGGAAGAAGGTAGGAGAAATGACAATCTGAAGATACATGGCAAGTAGCGTCACCAATAGTGAGGCTTCCTCCTCCTTTGCACACAGATCCCCAAGTCAGCTACCTCTACTCTACACCCCTGTCATGCTGCAGCCCAAAGATGCCTAGCTTTAATCAAGAAAGCAAGCTTTCTGAACTAAGACCTTCTCTGATCTGACTCGAAGAGCTTGTGAAAATTCCTCCAAAAGCACATCCATTACTTTTGCAGCAGGGAAACAAAGCTAAAAGCAGTCCAACTGAAAGGTCGTGGTGATACCTTTAAACAGCACTTGGGGTGAAGTTCTATTATGTGTGTTTGAGAAGGTGTCCAAAATGACAATCAGGTATCAAACCTAAATGAGAGATGACTGACATTACATTTTATCCACTCTGTATCTTTTTCTTGCATCTATCAGGTGGCCATGCTGTTGCCCTTCATAACATGGCCATCAGCATAGGTCACACTGTATGTTGTCAAAAGTGGGATCAATGTCATTTTTATCTTAGTGCTGAAACCAGTGCCGCTGCACAATGTAGATTTTGGCCTTTACAGTCCCAACCGGACTTGTGCTAAGACAAAGAAAGAAGCTAACAATACAATGGAATACTGTCACTTGGCTCAAAAGTGTCACAACTTATAGCTTTATCAACACAGAAGTCGTACTAATCAGTGAGCCAGATTTCCAGTGAACCCCTGTGCATTCAAACCATACTCCAGAAGCTTGAATGCAACATTTTGGGTTATATTTCCCTGCAATGCTGAGGGAGTGCTGCACTCTCCGAGGTGCAACCTTCAAGATTTACCATTCAATCCAGAAACCATCTGCCTCCTGCAATGAGTGAAAAGGATCCCACAGCTTATTCAAAGAGGAGAAAGGAAGTCCAATATTTACCCGTCAACTATGTTCTAGTAAGTGTTCATGGAACGTTATACAACCTTAGTGAGTATAAATTGATTGCACAGTTTGTTATATTATAGCAGTGATTACCGAGGAACAAAGGAATAGGAGCAGGCTATTTAGCTCCTTGTTGCTGCCATTCACTTACATTGTGGTTGGTGTACAAGTTAACTGCATTCAGCTATTTTGGTTCCATAATCATTAATATCTTTGCTGAACAGAAGTCGTAACAGATACAGTTTTGAAATTTGGAGACTTAAAAGTATTTAAATGTCTGTAAAGTACTTCTCAAAGTTCTGAGTCATGAATAGAGTTGTATAATGCAATCTTTATTTTGTGCACATTCCAGGAACAGCTATAACATTATTAAGTCAGTATAAAAGAATAATTGAGGTGTATATGGAAGTGTTATTTTATCATCAATTTTCATGAACTTGTGGATTTAACCATTAGCCTTCACTTGGTTATTCATTAGGGTTTGAGTGGTGCCACAGGTCCCCCTGGTGAAAATGGAATACCTGGTGAGCCGGTAAGGTGTTTAATTTCATCAATGCCTATGTCGATCTTCACAGTTTTGGCCAGGGTAGCTCTTGGCAATACATTATTAGAGATATTGAAATGAAATAATTCGTTGAAAATAATTATTTACCTAAGAAGCAACTGGAAAATTACACAAAGATTTGTTACAAAAACAACTCCTGCTAATTCTGCAATTTCCAGACTCTAAAACAATGGAAATCGTAGGTTTAGTTTTCACACTGCATTGCAGAAATTTGCTGGATATTATGTGACACAGTTGCTAATGTCATACCCTAAGAAAAATGTAAATATGCTTATTGGATATACACCATGGTGAGGGGGTTTGTGGATGGTGGTGGTGCACCTGGTTTCTGCGCTCATATGCTTCGGTGTCACTGTTCTGAGTGAGTCCACGCAAACGCATCATATATTTACTAAAACTCTATGACTGATAAAAACAGAAATTGCTGGAAAATCTCAGCACATCTGGCAGCCTCTGTGACTGAGGTTGGAGTTAATTCAGATTTGTATTAAAGGCAGCATAGGTTGAATAGTTATCATCAATTCTTCACACCTACAAGTAATTAGCTGGCGGTAAGGTTATTATTGCAGCAAGGAAAAGATGAAGAGGATTGACACTAGTTTTCTTAAGATAGAGTTTGTCGTGGTTTGGTCGATGAGATTTTTTATGTTTTGCTGAGATTTGTCTTTTGATTGAAGTTTAATATAAAAGAGAGATATTAAGTTATCCCAGAGCAGTGTTTTGAGCAGTAAGTCTGTGCTAACACTGCATTTTTGAGCAAAATGTGTTGTGTTTGTTTATACGTATTTTCTGGTTAGGTTGTTTAAGGTGCAGAAATGGTTTTTAGCAGAGTGATGTCCTCTTCCTGTTGGAAGTGGGCGATCAGGGAGCATTTTAGTGTTCCTGGAGACTATGTCGGCAGGAAGCGTGTTTAGTTGTGAATGCTATCAGATTTCATGGATCGATTAGAGCAGCTGTCAGAGGCAATAAGGAATTTACAGTAACCAGGGGTGTGATGGATGGCAATTTCAGGAAGGTGGAGACACCACAGATACAGTCAGGTAGATGGATTAACTCTAGGAAATGTAGGAGAAGTAGGCAAGTACTGCAGGATTCTTCTGTGGCTATCCCCATCTCGTGTATGCTGTTTTGGAAAATGTCAGGGATGATAGTCTCTCAGGGACAGCCATATTTCTGGTACCCTGACTGGCTGTACTGTAAAGAGGGGTATGTCAGTTTCCAAGCGATCGATTGTGAAAGGCGACTGTGGTTGGGGGCACAGATGTACCTTTCTGCAGCCAACATTAAGACATCAGAATGGTATGTTGTCTTCCTGGTACTAGGGTCATGGATTTATTGGAGAGGGTGCAGTATATTCTGAAAGGGCAGAGTCACCAGCAGGAGTTCATTGTACATGTTGGAACCAATGACATAGGTAGAGAAAGGGATGAAGTCCTTCAGAGAAAATGTAGGAAATTAGGCAGGAAGTTTAAAAGTAGGTTCTCTAATGTAGTAATAACTGGATTTCTCCCAGTGCCATGTGCTAGTGAGAGTCGGAATAGGAGGATTGAGCAGATGTAAGTGTGACTAAGGAGCTGGCGTACATGCACCAACAGGTTCAAAAACAACTTCTTCGCTGCCATTATTAGACTGATGAATGGACTTGTTAATGTTCATCTTGCATGGTGCTTGGTGTAATCTGTATGCCTTTGTCTATGCTTTTATTTCACTCTATGATCTATATGTCCTTGCTTACTGTGATCTGCCTGCAATGCTCACAAACAAAGCTTTTCACTGTACTTAGGTACACGTGACAATAAATCAAAATCAAATCAAATCAAATCAAGTAAGAGGCAAGGATTTATACTTTTGGAGGTAGTAAGAACTGCTGATGCTGGAGTCAGAGATAACACAGTGTGAAGCTGGAGAAGCACAGCAGGCCAGGCAGCATCAGAGGAACAGGAAAGCTGACGTTTCGGGTTGGGACCCTTCAGAAAAAGAAACTGAAGAAGGGTCCCAACCCGAAACATTAGCTTTCCTGCTCCATTTTATACTTTTGCACCTTTGGGATCTTTTCTGGGGTAGAAGTGACCTGTATAAGAAGGATGGGTTGTACCTGAATTGGAAAGGGACCAATGTCCTGGCTGGGAGATTTGATGGTGCTACTCGGGAGGCTTTAAACTAGTAAGGATGGGCGCTGGGATCAAAAGAGATAGTGAGATAAGAAATAAGTCTGAGGCTGTTACAGTAGATAAAAGGAGTAAGTTAAAGAGTCAAGGCAAGCAAGAGCAAGAGAGAACAAAGTATGATTGATAAATTAAACTGCATTTATTTCAATGCAAGAGGCCCGACAGGTAAGGCAGATGAACTAGGGGCATGGTTCAGAATGTGGGACTGGAATATCATAGTTACGACAGAAACGTCATTCAGGGAGGGGCAGGATTGGCAGCTTAATGTTCCAGGGCATAGAAACTGTAGGAAGGGGTTGGAGTGGCATTGCACTTAGGAAGGATATTCCTGGGAGAACATCCAGAGAAGTTACGTGGGTGGAATTGAGAAGTAAGAAAGGGATGATCACCTGATTGGGATTGTACTGTAGGCCTCCAATAGTCAGTGCGAAATTGAGAAGCAAATATGAATGGCGTTCTCAGATGTCTGTAAGAATAGTAGAGTTGTAACAGTAGGGATTTTAACTTTCCAAACATAGACTAGGACTACTATGGTTTTAAGGGCTTGGATGGAGACGAATTTAAGTGTGTGCAAGAAAATTTGCTTATTCAGTATGTGGATGTACCTACTAGGGAAGGAGCAAAACGTGACCTTCTCTTGGGAAGTAAGGCAGGGTAAGTGACTGAGGTGTCAGTGGGGGAGAACTTTGGGCGAAGTGATCATAATTCTATTAGTTTTAAAATAGTTACCGAAAAGAGTAGACCTGATCTCAAAGTTAAATTTCAAAATTGGAGGAAGGCCAAATTTGACAGGAACTTTCAAAAGTTGATTCAGAGAGGCTGTTTGCAGGCAAAGGGATGTTTGAAAAGTGGGAGGGCTTCAAAAATGAGATTACAAGAGTCCAGAGACAGTATGATCCTGTTAGTGCGAGGCCAATGCTGATAGGTGTAGGGAATGCTGGATGACCAGAGAAACTGTGGGTCTGGACAAGAAAAAGAAGGAGGTATACATCAGGTATGGACAGCTGGGATCGAGTAAATCCCTAGAGGACTATACCTAAGAGAGAAATCAGGAGGGAAAAAAGGGAACAAGAGGTAGCTTTGGCAAATAGGGTTAAGGAGAATTCAAGAGATTCTACATATACATGAAGAGCAAAATAGTAACTAGGGAGAGAATATGGCCCCTTAAAGATCAATGAGACCATCCGTGTATGGAGCCACAGGAGATGGATGAGAATGAATATTTTGCATCAGTATTTACTGTAGAGAAGGTCATGGAAGCTAGGGAACTTGGAGAAATAAATAATGATGTTTTGAAATGTGTCCACATTGAAGCTAGCAATGGCTCAGTGATCTCTCTGTAGCCAGACTAACCAATATACAATAATTGGTGACAAGTTCAAAGCCATTTATTCTGCTCAGCCAGTAAGAAATCAGGTAGTCAAAATATAAGAGAAAAGCTGTCCAGTGGAAACTGAGAATCAAAATCTCAGCTTAGAAGATTGTAATGTGAACATTGAGTTATGTCAATGAGTTGGAACAGCTTCATAACTAGAAGAGATAACAAATTAAACACACTGATAAATGAATTAATATTGGCATTCCATTTACTTACACATTAAATAGCCGAGTCTTCCTAATGTATATCAGTTAACCAAATTCAGTAACAGCTTATTTGTTTACATACAATGAAATATTAGATTGTCACTTCAGAATTTTAATTGAAAGTCCCAAAATTTTAAGGAAAGAAGTTTATTATCCCAGATCTGTTATTGTGGGAGCATCATAAATTAGATAATGAAAATAAAATTTCTGTAAACCATCTGCTCAGTCCCAAAAATTGTAAATCTCTTCTAATATATTTCCCATCAATATTTTATACTGTCTGCTTCTATTGGACAGTTTGTTTCACATTGTCACGACAAATGTGCAGTTAAATCTAAGTTGTATCTTTACAGCAGTTTACAGCCAAACACAGTGAGCAGGTGATCCAACTCTATCGTCTTCTCTAATCCCCATCATCAGTTAGGTGCCACAAACTTCCATCCAGCTCTCTGCCATGTTCAGGAACTCCTAGGGGAGAATCAGGAGAGGAGTCATCAACAAGAGAGGAAAATGGAGGGCGTTAACCCTATTTGTGCATGCCCTATTCTCTCCAAGTGTCCCCAAAGCATAAATCACTCTGCACTATCTCATCTAACACTCTAAGACAGATACAGCACAGGTTTGATGCTGAGTAAAGATTGTTCTTCTTGTTTGCTAACTCCCAACCTTAGCTATTGATTCACAAAGTGGATGATTTGCTCTGTCTGGCATCAGTGTCCTCTGCAAAGTGGACCAGTAGAGTTTGGGGCTACTATAGTGCTAGCATATGGAGGATGATGGAGTTGAATCTCACAGCAACAATGTTTTATTCTTTCAGCTCTGTCACTTATTGATATTGTGAAATGCTGAGGCCAAGTAATTTGGAGTACATACTGTGATAACATGTATAATATATTTTCATTCTTGGAATTTGGATTTCTAAAAATTAGAAGTAAATGGATTTTGGGTAGTCCTGTGAAGGTGTTTATTTTTAACAGAAAGGTATTTTTGAAACAGGGGCTCAGAATGTCATCAGGACTGTGACCTAAATACATAACTTCTAAGAGGCCATGTGACTTCAGTCAACTGTCTAACAGACACTTGTGGTGTTAATGGATGAAATGCTTATACTGCTGAGTTTATGACAGACAGACTAAACAGATAAAGCAATTAGTATTATTTAGAGTTCAGAGTAGAAGAATCAAGTCAGTTCAGGGGAAGTAGTCATCTCAGTGGAAGTGGTTTCTACTCTGTGGAACTTCCAAGCCTAGATACTTGTAAAAGAGTCTTCAAGTTGTTAGAACAGAAAAAGTTTAAGCTTTTGGAGTTGTGAAAGCTTCATGCTGGCAGACTCAAATGAATCTTAAAAAGACGTCTCAGACGTTTAACCACTATGATAATCAACTGGAAAAATTAAACGTATTATCTACCAAGCCAGGTTTCATTCTGGGATATGACTTGTCCAGCATTATCATCAGCTGGGATCATAACAATATTCATTATTCTGACTCCTGGTCACCTATCTTCAATGCAATTCCCTAACACTGTCAAGTGTTCTGTCTTGTTATGTCAGTGCATTTCCATTCAACCATTTGATTTCTTTTGAATTAGCTAATTGTTAACCTATCTCATACAATAAGGATCAAGAGTAGATCACTGGGCCCTTTAAGTGTAGTTCACCATTCAATAGGATCATGGTTGGTCTGATTTTAAACAAAACTCTACATTCCTACATATCCCCTATAATCTTTCATTCCCTTGGTAATCAAGAATCTATCTACCTCTGCCTTAAAAATATTTAAAGATACTGCACCCTTTTGTCAAAGAAATTTCCAAAGACTTTCAACTCTCTCTGAAAGGAAAAGTTATTCCTCACCTCTGTCTTAAATGGGCAACCTCTTATTTTTAAACTATGGCCCCCAGCTCTAGATTCTCCCACAAGAAGAAACATCATTTCCACATCCCCTCAGGATCTCAGAAATCATTACTGCTGCCTCACAGCAGCAAGGACCCAGGCTTGATTCCAGCCTCGGGTCTGTGTGGAGTTTGCACATTCTCCCGGTATCTGCCTGGACTTCCCCCTGGTTGCTCCAGTTTCCCGCCATGGTCCAAAGTTAGGTTAGGTGGATCAGCCATGCTAAATTATGTACATTGTCTAGGGATATGTAGATTAGATGGATTAGCCATGTAGGATAGGGAGTTGCATCTGGGTGGGATTTTCTTCCGAGGATCAGTGTGGACTTGCTGGGCCCAATGGCCTGTTTCCACACTGCAGGAATGCTATGATTCTATGATAGTCTGTGCTACTTACAGTTCAGGTTTCAGCTCCTAAAAGGTACTACTCTAAAAGATATGCTGGAATAGAGAGACCTGAGTTTGTAAGTGCATAAGTCTTTAAAAGTGGCAGGAAAGGTCAAGATAGTGGTTATTAAAGCATACAGTATCATAGTTTTATTAACTTATTTTTCAGCATACAGAACAAGTGCTGGGAGGTACAGCAGAATTTGTATAAGATGCCAGTTCGACTTCAACTGAAGTATTGTGTATAGTTCTGGGAACACATCCTCACAGTGAAGGCATTGGTGACAGTGCAAAAGAGGTTTACAAAAATGCTTCCAGAAATGACCAGCTTTCAGTTGGAGAGGAGAAAACTAAGAGGAGGTTTGATCTCTCAAAATCATGAGTTGTGTAGACAATATGCATATGGGGAAATTATTCCAACTTGTAAAAGGATCAAGAATGAGAGGGCACAAATCTAAAGTTATTTGCAAAAGAGAAAAACATGGCGTGAGGAAAAAAAAATCATTTTCATGCAGCGAGTGATTTGGGTCTGGATGCGCTGCCTGGAAATGTGATGGAGACAGGTTCAATTGAGACATTCAAGAAGGCATTGGATGATTGTATGAACAGAAACAATGTGCACGGTAAAACAAGAAGATGGTACTAAGTTATAAGTATTCGGACAGCCAGTGCAGATATGTTGGGCTGAATAGCCTCCTTTGGCACTGTAACAAGTTTATAATTCTAATTCTGATTCTGGGGTGCATTTTGGCTGGAACAGGGACAGCAGTTTGCTATTCAAGATCAACCAGTCAAAAAGAAAACTGCAAAATGGTGCACCAAGGCAGAGGTTAGGGTCCAATATTCTCTGACTCATCCCTGCAGGCCTTGGTGCAAGAGGTGAACAGGAGGAAAGATAACCTTCATCAGAAACAGCAATTGCAATGGGAGCAATCAGCTATGATGGTGGAGTAGCAGATAGTGAAGGGGACTGTCGGAGAACGCAGCAGAATATAGATAGATTGGAGAGTTGGGCGGAGAAATGGCAGATGGAGTTCAATCCAGGCAAATGCGAGGTGATGCATTTTGGAAGATCCAATTCAAGAGCGAACTATACGGTAAATGGAAAAGCCCTGGGGAAAATTGTTGCACAGAGAGATCTGGGTGTTCAGGTCCATTATACCCTGAAGGTAGCAATGCAGGTCAATAGAGTGGTCAAGAAGGCATACGGCATGCTTTCATTCATCGGACGGGGTAATGAGTACAAGATTTGGCAGGTCATGTTACAGTTGTATAGGACGTTGGTTCGACCACATTTGGAATACTGCGTATAGTTCTGGTCGCCACATTACCAAAAGGATGTGGATGCTTTGGAGAGGGTGCAGAGGAGGTTCATCAGGATGTTGCCTGGTATGGAGGGCGCTAGCTATGAAGAGAGGTTGAGTAGATTAGGATTATTTATATTAGAAAGACGGAGGTTGAGGGGAGACCTGATTGAGGTCTACAAAATCATGAGAGGTATAGACAGGGTGGATAGCAAGAAGCTTTTTCCCAGAGTGGGGGACTCAATTACTAGGGGTCATGATTTCTAGGTGACAGGGGAAAAGTTTAAGGGAGATATGTGTGGAAAGTTCTTTACGCAGAGGGTGGTGGGTGCGTGGAATACGTTACCAGCGGAAGTGGTAGAGGCGGGCATGATAGCGTCATTTAAGATGTATCTAGACAGATACATGAATGGGCAGGGAGCAGAGGGATACAGATCCTTGGAAAATAGGCAATAGGTTTAGATAGAGGATCTGGATCGGCGCAGGCTTGGAGGGCCGAAGGGCCTGTTCCTGTGCTGTAATTTTCTTTGTTCTTTGTTCTTTATGCAGTACGATGCAGTACGACAAGTAATTCAACGCACAAACATAAGAGATGGCGCTGGACAGGATCATTCAGATTCCTGAACTTGTCACCATACAATGAGATTATGGATGATCTAATTCTGACATTAATTTTACTGTTCTGATTGTCTCTGTCCTCCATTCCTCCACAAATATTGCTTGTAGATCCAAAATCTGCTTATCTCGTCTTTAATATATTCAATGGCCTAGCCTTCACTCGTCTCTGAAGTGGAATGGACTCTGAGAGTAGAAATTCTTCCCCTTCTCCACATTACTGGGAGAACACATAATTTGAATCTTAGACCCCTCATCTAAATTCCAGTGTCAGTGGCTATCCTGTCAAACCCCTTTCGAATCTTATGTCTTTAAGAAGGTCCCCTTTCATTCTTCTAAGGTGCAATAAGTATAAGGCCAATCTGTCCAACCTTTCTTGAAAAGAAAACACTTGGTGTATAAAGCTACTGGTTCTCAAGGGGCTAACATTCATATTATATTCGTCTTACGCATTCTGCAAATGTTACAATGTTTGTGGTGAAGCTGAGGGGTTCTCCTCTTGCTTTCAGAGGAACCATATGCGTCTGTACTAGTTCGCTAAGGTCTTAGTGATGAAACCTGATCAAAAATCGTTTACTTATTGCTATCATGTAATAAACTGTTTTGTTATATATAAGAACAATGTTTTCTTTTCTGTAGATAGTCAGATAAAAGTTGTTTCCTCTGAATCCATAGCCTGAGATGACCTCAATGGGTTTGTTATTGTTCTATATGCAGGGGTCATCGTAGTGTGGCAGTTCAGGGTGTAGAGAAACTTAACAACAGAGACTGGATTGTGGACTAGTTATCATGTCTGGAGTAATCTATTAGTATCTGGCAGGGTCTTCTGGATGACAAGACATTAAAGTGATTTACTTCCTTGGGACTCCTTTCATTCTACCCCAAGAGGATTTACAGAAACCCCATTTACACACATGAACAAAACATCTACTGAAGTTATGGAGCAATAGAAACCCAAACAAATTTTCACCCATATCTTGTGGAATATAAGGGATTCAAGAATAAAATGCAGCACCTGCTGGGTATGCCTTGCCAATGGAAACTCGGGGTAAATGTCTGAGAGTCAGTGAAACAGGAACCAACAATTATCAAGGCTGAGAACTAATTGGTCCACTCCTCTGCCCTGTAATTTCATGTCCAGCTTTTGTGTTCACCACCTAAACCATTCAGACTTGTTTTTATTTTAATAGGAGTATCTCATCTTGACAATTTGCTTTTTGCTAGGGACCTCGTGGTGAAAATGGTTCTCCAGGAGCACCAGGTTCAAAAGTAAGTTTCATGTCAGACTCATTTTGCAAATTAACGCAGGCTTTTTTTCAGAAGAGTTTAGCATTAATTAATGCTCCATCTTTAAAATCTAGGGTGGGACTGGTCCTTCAGGTGAGCGTGGACCCCCGGGTTCTTCCGGGCCTACTGGGCCACGTGGGCTTCCTGGTGACAGTGGATTAGAAGGACCGAAAGTAAGCAACTTTGTCAAATTTTTCCAAAAGGAATTGTGTAAATACGCACACAAACGGAGCCAATACTTAAGTTTTGTTGTTGCTTCCTCTTTCAATGTCAGGGTCCTCCTGGGCCTGTAGGTCCGCCAGGCCCAATTGGCCCTTCAGGATTACAAGGTATGCCAGGTGAAAATGGTCATCCAGGTGGCATAGGACCTAAGGGTGAAAAAGTAAGTATCGGTTTATTTTTGTTCCATTTTTCTTTTACCCTGTATTGAATATAATGATCTTGTTTCTAATATAAAATATTTTGAATTGGTATTCAGCTTTGCATCTAATTAAGTCTGTATTTTCTGTGACAGGGGGAGGCTGGTCCAATGGGTCTTGATGGTGCACCTGGTAAAGATGGTGTCTCAGTAAGTGCGCAGTATCATGTCTATGTCTTGTAAGTGATTTAGTTTTGGATACATAATCTGTGCTTACGTTTTTACTACTTCCATTCTCACACAGGGGCAGCAAGGAATTATGGGTCCACCAGGTCAACCAGGCCCTACAGGAGGGCGGGTAACTTTAATTTTCTGAAACTTTTGATGTTTGTCACCTAAGAAAGGTTGATTGTGTTTAGTGTCAACAAATAAGATAAAGGCTGAAGAAAATACAATACACTTTGCTATATGTATACACATCAATATTATTAAATAAATTGGTCACAACACATAGTGAGGAAGAGATACCCTAGAAGTTATAAATTACCACACGTTGTTAGCTAGTGTGTGCTGGGTCACTGCATGCATTTGCACATTAATTGCTCATTAAATATGCCACCCAAAGTAATTAATGACATAAGTCCCCTTTTAATATTGATAACTGTTAATTACTGCTAATCAAACACTTTCACACAGAAATAAACCAGATATAGCTGTGAAGTCTCAAATTTTAGCTGTAAATTGTTGTGGGAGATTTTAAAAATATCTAAATTTAAATACTGTTTGAAATTTTTTTTTCTGTTTTTCTTTCTACACCCAATCTTTCTTACTCTTCACTTATTTCACTTACTGCACATTCTTTCCCTTTAATTTCCCACCCTTATCTTCGATCCTTGTGTTATTTATCTCTTGATTCTTAAATCTCATTAATTAAGGAGATACACTGTTTGTTCTGTTGGTCAGTAAAGTGCCTGATGTCCTTTTGTAGGCATTGTCCCATTATCAATTTGCACTTAGACCAATCTTATTTCTATTTTAAAAAAGATAAGCATTGATCAATAAACTGAATTAAAAGGGCTTGTTGTGAAATGCCAGCCTCCTGAAAAATCTGGACTAACGTGTCTGAAATGTTCTGATCAAATAAAAAGGAATCCAGCAGGAGGTTAAATTAAATCTTAGCAGCTGTATAATCTATGCCAGAAGATTAGCCACCCACTGCATACCTTAACGTACATTGCTTCAATGGAAAGGACAATAGAATAGGGTATAAAACAAACACTTACATCTGTCCTTTGTGTAATGCATTAATTAGTTGCATTTTTGTAAATTGTTAAATTTATGTATCCATTGGTCTTCACTACAGAGACCTATCCATTATTCTGATAGTTAGAAAGGAATGCTTGAATCAAACCATATTAATGTATCTAATACTGATTACTATTTTAATGGTATATGATCATTGCCACTAATCAGTTGGCTGCACTTGCTAACACCCAGGAGCGTGTGTACTAGCAGCAAAATCTCTCAAAAATTTATTTAAACAGTGATAAGTACCCAACAAATACTTGAAAATTAAGAAAAAGGTTATTAATTTGTAATTTCCTTTAATTATTCGTTGATTTTCTGGTATTAGGGTGAGTCTGGCCCTGCTGGTCCTCCTGGTCCTACTGGTTCTCGTGGTCTTCCTGTAAGTAAATGTTATCTAAGATTTAACTGAATAAGTGTTTATGCAATTAAAAGTCAGGCAAAATAGTCTATGACTGCAGAAATACTTTATGATGGACTGTAATCCAGTCTCACTTTAAAGAGTGTGGAAATTTGATCTCAAAAGTGGCTTCTTTCTATTTTAAAAGCAATCCAATAAAATGGCCATCTCATCATAATCCATCCAGTTTGAGATTATCATTTTGAATTACTTTCAGGAAAATATCTTGGTACAACAGCGATTGGGAATGTTCCTTTCTTGAGAGAGAAAAGTGGTTTGAATCCACAAAGGAAGTCAGGTGATGCTCCAAAGGCCATCTTTTGACACCTTTAGTAATCAGTTTAAAAATGTAAATATGTAATAAAACATAAAAAGTGCCGCCTTTTGTGATCCGTTTTAAACTTCAAATATAATCACCTTGTGTAACACAGAAAGGAAGATCAAGTAGGAAGGATTGAGGAACCAAATACAACTTGCCCAATCATCTGCCCATTTAATTGAAAATGCATTTAACTCAACTAGGCTCCATTATAAAATAGATTCTGGTCTGGTTCTCCTCTAGAGCTGCAGGTAACAGATGAAAATCTACTCCCTCCTTTCTTAATCAAGGGATTTTGTTTTGGTCAGACACATTAGAGCAGGTTGGCGAACCTCACTGCCAGACAATAATAGTGCGTACTGTTCCTATGCAGCTGGAGCTAGGATCTTATTTCCTCTTCAAAGCCTTTTAAATCATGTAAAGGTAGATCTCCTTACATAGCAGAGTCCAACACAAAAAATGAGGCAGAATAATTATGGACACACCTGAAATAGCTGTAAGGGATAAAGGAGCTAGGATTGTATCATTGCTGCCCATGGTTACTGATCTCCTCATCTTGCCAGTGATTCCTGATAAATCTCAATGTCCTGGAGGAAGAAATGGTATGATGAAATGGTGAAGGTCTGGGAGCTCTGTAGATACTCGGTCCCAGAAAGAGTTCAACTGGAGACACCGAGAAAGATTCACAATGACAAATAAAGCAGGAGATTCGGAATGCTACATGCTGTGGCCAGCCTGTGTAATTATTTGCATGTTAATACAGTACATGTTCTGAAATAAAATGCACAATTAACAGATAAAGATGTGCAGACTGCAGATTTATAAAGAACAATTTAAACAAAATTACAATAACATCATCAAGTATTAATATAAATTGTACATCATATATGTCGAATATGAAAAAAATTATTTTTTCTTCATTTTAGTTACATGCTCAATTATTTCTTGCAGGGTGAACGAGGAGAACCTGGTTCCAAAGGTCCTAATGGATTTCCTGGGCTTCCAGTAAGTTGAGACTTATCATCGAGTCTGTGAAGTATTGTAAATAAGGTTCCTATCTTTGGAATATCAAGAATGATTATAATTTACTGTTAGGCAGAAGATAGCTTTCTGATTATTTCAGGATAAATGGAAAATGGACCTCAATACAAACAAAAATATTGTGGTATATTTTGCTAGGAAGGCTAAGGAGCATATATTATTTATTATTTATTCATTTGTGGGATGTGGGAGTCGCTGGCTGGCCATCATTTATTGGCCGACCCGAGTTGCCCTTGAGAAGGTGGTGGTGAGCTGCCTTCTTGATATGCTGCGGTCGGTGTGCTGTAACTTGCCCACAGTGCCGTTAGGGAGGGAATTCCAACATTTTGACCCAGCGACAGTGAAGGAACGGCGATATATTTCCAAGTCAGGTTGGTGAGTGGCTTGGAGGGGAACTTGAAGGTGGTGATGTTCCCATATATTAGCTGCCCCCGTCCTTCTAGATGGAAGTGGTCGTGTGTTTGTCTGAGGATCTTTGGTGAATTTCTGCAGTGCATCTTGTAGATAGTACATAGTGCTGCTACTGAGTGTCAGTCATGGAGGGAATTGATGCTTGTGGATGTAGTGCCAATCAAGTGGGCTGCTTTGTCCTGGATGGTGTCAAGCTTCTTGAATGTTGTTGGGTCTGCACTCATCCAGGCAAGTGGGGAGTATTCCATCACACTCCTGACTTGTGCCTGTGTAGATGGTGGACAGGCTTTGGTGAATCAGGAGGTGAGTTATTTACCACAGTATTCCTAGACTAGAACAGTTCTTGTAGCCATTGTGTTTGTGTGGTGAGTCCTGTTGAGTTTCTGGTCAATGATAACTCCCAGGATGTTGATAGTGTGGGATTCAGTGATGGAACACCCATGAATATCAAGGGACGGTGGTTAGATTGTCTCTTATTGGTGATGGTCATAGCCTGGCAATTGTGTGGCACAAATGTCACTTGCCACTTGTCAGCCCAAACCTGGATATTGTCCAGATCTTGTTGTATTTGAACATGGACTGCTTCAGTATCTGAGGAGCCCCGAATGGTCCTGAACATGGTGCAACCATCGATGAATATCTCCACTTCTGTCCTTATCGTGGATAGAGGATCATTGATGAAGCAGCTAAAGATGGTTGAGCCTAGGACACTTCCCTAAGGAACTCCTGCAGCGGTGTCCCGGAGCTGAGATGACTGATCTCCAACAACCATGACCATCTTCCTATGTGTCAGATATGACTCTAACCACCGGAGAGTTTGGCTCCTGATACCCATTAATTCCAGTTTTGCCAGGGCTTTTGATGCCACATCCAGTCGAATGCAGTCGAATGGTGTCAAGGGCTGTCACTCTCATCTCACCTTTGGACTTCAGCTCCTTTGTCCATCTTTGAACCAAAGCTGTAATGAGGTCAGGAGCAGAGTGGTCCTGGCAGAACCCAAACTGGGCATCACCGAGCAGGTTATTGCTGAGCAGGTGCTGCTTGATAGCACTGATGATGACACCTTCCATCACTTTACTGATGATCGAGAGTAGACTGATGGGGCAGTAACTGGCCGGGTTGGATTTGTCCTGCTTTTTGTGTACCGGACATACTTGGGCAATTTTCCACATTGTCAGGTAGATACCAGTGTTTTAACTGTACTGGAACAGCTTGGCTAGGGGAGCAGTAAGTTCTGGAGCACAAGTCTTCAGTACTATTGCTGGAATGTTGTCAGGGCCCGTAGCCTTTGCAGTATCCAGTGATTCCAACCATTTCTTGATATCACGTGGAGTGAATCAAATTGGCTGAAGACTGGTATCTGTAATGCTGGGGAGCACTGGAGGAGGATTTGACACTTCTGGCTGAAGATTGTTGCAAATGCTTCAGCCTTGACTTTTGCACTGATCTGTTGGGCTCTTCCATCATTGCAGATGGGGATATTTATGGAGCCTCCTCCTCCAGTTAGTTGTTCAATTGTCCACTACGATTCTGTTGGTTGTGGGATTGCCTAGCTGTATCTATCACTTGCTGCTTATGCATGTAGTAGTTTGGCATGCAGAGAGTCCTGTTTGATAGCTTCACCAGGTAGACATCTCATCTTCAGGTATGCCTGGTGCTCCTCCTAGCATGCCCTCCTGCACTCTTCATTGAACCAGGGTTGATCCCCTGGCTTGATGGTAATGGTTGTGTGGGGGATAAGTTGAGTCATGAGGTTACAGATTGTGCTGGAGTACAATTCTGCTGCTGTTGATGGCCCACAGTGCCTCACAGATGTCCAGTCTTGAGTTGCTAGGTCTGTGCAAAATCTGTCCCATTTAGTATGGTGATAGTGCCACACAACACAATGGAGCGTATTTTCGATGTGAAGGCGGAACTTCGTCTCCATAAGGACTGTGCAGTGGTCACTCTTACCGATACTGTCGTGGACAGATGCAACTGCAGCTGGTAGATTAGTAAGGATGAGATCAAGTATGTTTTTCTCTACTGTTCGTTCCCTCACCACTTGCCGCAGACCCAGTCTAACAGCTATGTCCTTTAGGACCCAACCAGCTCGATCAGTAGTACTGCTGCTGAGCCACTCTTGGTGGTGGACATTGAAATCTCCTACCTGGAGTACATTTTGTGCCCTTACAATCCTCAGCGCTTCCTCCAAGTGTTGTTCAACATGGAAGAGTACTGATTGATCAGCTGAGTACAGCACATGTTAATCAGTAGGAGGTTTCCTTGCCCATATTTAACCTGAAGCCATGAGACTTCATGGGTTTGGAGTTGATGTTTAGGACTCCCAGGACTATGTACCATTGTACTGCCACCCCTGCTGGGTTTGTCCTGCCGGTGGGTCAGGACATATCCAGGGATGGTGATGGTGGTGTCTGGGAAGGGTCTAGGCCCGAAACGTCAGCTTTCCTGCTCCTCTGATGCTGCTTGGCCTGCTGTGTTCATCCAGCTCTTGTTATCCCAGGTTACGGTCCAACAGGTTTATTTGAAATCACAAGTTTTCAGAGCGCTGCTTCTTCATCGGGTAAAATCACTTCACCTGCCAAAGGGGCAGTGCTTTGGAAGCTTGTGATTGCAGATAAACCTGTTGGACTATAACCTGGTGCCATGTGACTCTGACCTTGTCCACCCCAGTGCAACACCAGCACTTCCACATTATGAAAGAATTAGATAGTGTCTCCATAAAAATGTTTTTCTTACTTGAGTGAAAAAATGGTCACTAATAAATTCGACAGGAAATTTGACAATTTGACTGTTTGAATAATGCAGATGAGATCCGATTTTGATCAAGCCTCAGGCTGGCCTTTCTGGAAGTGTCCTGATGTTGTTATCGATATTGATATTATGCAAAAAGCCTGGTGCAAGTTCAATTTGCTGCCTCAGAATTCAAAGTTGAAAACTGTGTTCATTTTAGTTCTAATGCATGACTAATCTATAATTTATTTAATTAGGGTCTTGATGGTCAGCCCGGTCCTAAAGGCTCAGATGGAAGCCCTGGCCCAAAAGGTAGCTCTGGCCCACCAGGTCCTTCAGGTATAATTGGATTACCTGGTCGACTGGTAAGCAAATTTCCCCATGGTAAACGTACTGCAGGATGCACTAAAGCCTGGGGAAAGACTACTGTCTAAGGTCTTTGTGCCAAAGTAAAGTGAGGGTCCATTCAATTGTCAGACCCTCTCGTTGCCTCAGAATGAATATAAATAGTTTCCTGCATGAGAAAATGCCTTTGATTTCGCAACTGCAGAGAAACTCTGAGAAATGTCAAAATTCTAATGTCTTATTTGTTTCTCTTTCTGCAAAGAGTGTTCACGATTGAGAATTCAGTGTGTACATTTGATTGATTTTTATGAAAAATAAGAAAAAATTTAGTTCTGCCAAAATGTAATGAAAGTGTTACATTTCACAATACCCTTGTAGCCTTAATGGGAATGTAAATAGTTTCCTTTCATGTTTAGAAAATGCTGTTTTTGTTGCAACTGGATTGTAGCTCTTATGAAGAATGCCAAAATTTCACTATATTTTCTGCAAAGTTTATAAAGAACTCTTTTGTACCTGTTCTATATACTTATAGATATTTATGAATAAAATATATTTTTTAAGTAGACAGACATTTATAATCGTGATCGTGTATGATCAATTGTGTTTTGATTTCTCAGAAAATTGACTTAAATAAATTGAATCAGTTCAGTTTTTTCTGTTATTATAGGGTCTTCCTGGGAGCAAAGGAGAAAAAGGTGAACGTGGCTCGGCAGGGCCTCCTGTGAGTATCGGAATTACTATTTAACAACAACTCAGCTGATATTCATATTTACTACCACCTTACTGAAGTCAATGTCCCGCAAAAGTATTGTATTTGCTTTTTGAAATAATGATCAGCCACTCATTTATATAGTTAATCTACAAGAATACAGTGCCCATTCCACAGCTTTGCTTCTCAGCACTGCGTATACAAAATGTTTCATCACAATTTAAGATCCTGTTCAACTTTCTTTAAAATCTAATCAGTTTTAACAATATTCCCCCCCTCAGATCTGCAGGAAGAACTAGACTGGACCACACATTAGGATTTATCATGTTAGATTTGTGTTTTTCAAAGTGTGCATCTCCTGAAAAGTGTTGTTGAGGCTAGATTGAATTCAAATATAAATATTGAGACTGATTTTTGTTGTATGACTGAATTAAAGTATTTGGACTAAGGTGGACAACAGTAATGAAGGTACAGATCCACTGTGATCTCATTGAATGGGTGGAGAATACTCGTGGGATCCAACAGCCGACTCATGCTCTGAGTGTGATCAACACTTAACTGGCAGTAGGTAGCAAAGTGGCTCAGCAGGAGCTTGCTGGGCCCATACCCCAAAACCATCTTCTATTGAAATTCTCAGTAAGACTGTTTGATCAAGTGAGCATCATGGTGCTGAGTTTGCCATGGCTCAAAGGAACTTTTCTCACACAAAGATTATCATTAATTATGAACCTGGGATGCAAAGCAGCCTCCTTGTTGAATCACATTGTACGAGAGGCAGATGCACTGCCAGAGCTTAGAGCTGTCCATGCCACTGGTACTGTTTTAAAGCTCAGGAACATACCAGTTCAGATGCTGCGACCCAGGAACTGGTCCTTACATGTTGTTGTTCAACAATTATAATTGATGACATGGCCCAATTCCTCTTAGTCTTTACAGACTTTGATCAGTTTGCTCCTTAACCTTCTAAATTCCAAAGAAAACAGGCCTAATTTGTACAATCTCTCCTCATAAATGAAGTTCCCTGTTTCCACGATAATTCACCTTGATTTTCATTCTGCTGACCACCAGTATTGACCGTGGCCCAATACCCTGACCAACTTGAGGGGTCAGCCCCAGTTGAGTACTGACCAGACCCTTCACTGATCTGTGTGCAGCTCCCTGACTGACAATCCATGAAACCTCAGATAACAAGGTGTAGAGCTGGATGAACACAGCAGGCCAAGCAGCATCAGATGAGCAAAAAGGCATTTCTGAAAAAGGGTCTAGGCCCGAAACGTCAGCTTTCCTGCTCCTCTGATGCTGCTTGACCTGCTGTGTTCATCCAGCTCTACACCTTGTTATCTCAGATTCTCCAGCATCTGCAGTTCCTATTATCCATGAAACCTCAGACTGGTTGCAAAGTACCTATGGAACTGACCGAGGCCACTGCCCAGACTGCAGAGGTACAGATGCCTGACACCTGACCACCCCAAATGGAGACAAAAACAGAAATTGCTGGAAAAGCTCAGCAGGTCTGGCAGCTTCTGTGAAGAGAAATTAGAGTTAATGTTTTGAGTCCGATGACCCTTCCTCAGAATTGATGGTAGATAGGAAAATGCAGAAGATAAGGTCGGGGGAGGGATAAGGAGTAAACGATAGGTGGGGATAGAGCCCAAAGAGAGAGAAGAACAGTTAGACAGATAAAGGAGTGGATAGCGATCTGGCTAGGAGGGTGAATAACTATTAATGGAGACTGTTAGTGGTTGACAATGGGTTGTGTGTAATAGCAGACTTTGTGATGACAAGGCCTGGTATGTAGAGTTGGGGGCTAGAACACAGGAGAGTTCAAGCCTTAAAGTTACTGAACTTTATATTGAATTCAGAAGGCTGAAGGGTCCCCAAGCAGAAAATGATTCGTTATTCTTTCAGTTTACGCTGAGCTTCGCTAAAGCATTGCAGTAAGCCTGAGACAGAGATGTTGGCCAGGAAGAAGGGTGGTATGTTAAAGGAGCAGGCAGCTGGAAGCTTAGGATCATTTTTGCGGATAGAATATAGATGTTCTGTGAAGCAGTCACCCAGTCTACACTTCATTTCCCCAACGTAGAGGAGATCACATCGTGAGCAGCAAATGCAGTAGGCTTGATTCTGTATCCACCTTCCTTTGTGCACCTTCTGCAGGGACCGTTCCTTCTGGGACACCCTTGTCCACTCTTTCTTAACTCCGAACAACCCCACAGCCCCACGGCACCTTGCCATGCAACCACCACAGGTGTAACACCTGTCCATTTACTTCCTCCCCCTTCAGTATCCAAAGGCCCAAACATACCTTCGAGGTGAAGCAGCACTTTACCTGCAGTGTATATGATCTAGTCTATTGCATTCGCTGCTCACAGTGTGGTCTCCTCTACAGAAGGAAAACAAAGTGTAGACTGGGTGACCGCTTCGCAGAACATCTATGTTCTGCTTGCAAAATTGACCCTGAGCTTCCAGTTGCCTGCCACTTCAATACACCATCCTAATAGCTGGCCAACCTCTCTGTGTCAGGTTTGTTGCAGTGCTCCAGCGAAGTTCAGCATTAGCTGGAAAAACAGCTTCTCATTTTCTTCTTCGGGACCCATCAGACTTCTGGACTCAATATCGAGTTCAATAACTTTAGGACTTGAACTCTCCTGTGTCCTAGCCCCCAGCCCAACAGACCAGGCCTTGTTATCACATAGTCAGATATTATACACCACCCATTGTTAGCCACTAACAGTCTGCATTAACAGCTATTCACCCTCTTAACCAGATAGTATCGACTCCTTTGTCTGTCCGACTGTTCTTCTCTCTCTTTGGGCTGTTTCCCAACCTATTGTTTACTCCTACCCCTGACCCACACCCTATCTTCTGCACAAAAACCAACATGTTCTTAGCTACCATCAGTTCTGAGGAAGGGTCGCCAGACCCGAAAGGTTAACTCTGATTTCTCTTCACAGATGCTGCCAGACCTGCTGAGCTTTTCCAGCAATTTCTGTCTTTGTTTCTGATTTAAAGCATCCACAGTTCTTTCAGTTTTTATTTAGTATTCACCCCAAATGGACGCTTGACCATTTTCAAACCCTTAGCCTGAGAATGGATGCTGCCCTTCATTGAATGTGACAGGAACCCCTGACAGATGGCAGCCCCTGTTTTGCTTTTCACTGAGGACTGGTTGAGAAGTGACCATTTGGTTGAAACACCTGCAGTATGTTTGCAGCATAGGGTACAGGTCGATGCTGTAGGTGTGAGATTGACATAGCACAGTGCCATAGAACAATGTGTCCAGCCCCTTGACTGCTGACAAGCATCCAGCTTTGTCTGCGTTAAACAGTAAAGCATGACAAAAGTACTGTAAGCCTTTAAGGTGCAGAATTCAGGGCAAAGTGGCAGAATGCAGGGCAAGAATGCTGTGAACATCACCAAAAGATATAGTAACAGAATTAGACCGTTCAACCTATCGATTCTGCTCCCCATTTGATCCTGAATGTTTGATTTATCACCGTAGTCACAAAGTATGTAAGTACTAAGAGAATAAACCAGTAGCCCGGAGATGCAGTCTAGTCCTCTCCATAAGCTGGGTGCCTGTCCCTGCGTGCAAAGTTTTCTTTAGGCAACATTGCAATTTGTTCCAAAGCACACCATTGAATTGCCAAAGTGTCAATCCATCACAGAATCCCTACAGTGTGGAAGCAGGCCACTTGGCAAATCAAGTCCACACTGACCCTATCCTGCTACCCTATCCCTGTAAGCTTGCATTTCCCATGGCTCATCCACAGACACAATGGGAAATTTAGCATGGCCAATCCACCTAAACTGCACATCTTTGGACTGTGGGAGGAAATCGGAGCACCCGGAGGAAACCCACGCAAACACAGGGAGAATGTACAAATTCCACACAGACAGGTGCGCAAGGCTGGAGTTAAACCCAGGTCCTTGGCACTGTGAGGCAGCAGTGCTAACCACTGAGCTACCGTGCCGTTGCCCAAATAGAATAGAAATGTGCCATGATGAGGTGAGGAGGCTGGTGTGTGTCATATGCCAAAGTATATGGATGTGGGAGGCCTGTGGTCATTAACCTGGAGCATGCCCTGAGATGTTGGTGCTGGGTGCCCAAAATGGAGCCAGGCAGTGAACTAGTAGTTGACAAGTACCCGCTCTGACTTTCATGGCAGGAATTTTTGGCACCTAATTTCTATCTGTTGGGGGTGTAGAGTGAGAGACTGCATATTAATGAGGTGAGATTAAGTAATAACAAGACTGGCAATGAAAGATAACCCCTATTAACAGGCCTCTTGCATTCGCTAGCAAGATTTCATCTTGACGTCCAGCACTTATTTGGAAAATGGGACATTTCAGTTTTGACATCGAGAAGACCCTCACTTGACATCTCACCCAGTTTTCCTAAATTTCTCACCATATCCCACATCATTCAGGGCTGGGAAGATTCTGCCATTGTAATTCATAAAAATTGCCTTGAATTAAAAGGGAATGCGCTATTGCTTCTGAGAAAAATGTTAAAGGAATTAAGTTCCTGGAGTATTTAGTATGCACTTGAATCCTTTTGGCTACCGTTTGTCCAATTTAGAATGTGTTCCAAAATTACAGTCTAAGTCTATTAAGGTGACCCCTTAATAATATTATTTTAGTGCATGAGTGTCAAATAGTGACCTCATAAAATATCAGGAGAATGTAGCACCATTGATTGATTGAATGTTGCATTCATCATATTGTTCTTCAAAAGGATCATGTAAATAAAGACAGCACAATTTAATAGTATCTCTGTTCTTAGAAATGACCTTAACCTTTCAGATATGTTGAGATTACTAAATTTATTTGTTGTGAAGTCAGAATAGAATTAATTATTTCCACAAAACTATCAACATTATCATTCATTTGTTGAAGATATTCTTACTCTTGAAAGAGCCTTAAATCTAGTAGATCTGTCTGTCATTTTCGGGTTTTTCCTTGGTTTATATTTTAGATCAAGGACAGTGAAAGTTGGTACCACAATGGACATCATAATTTCTAAATGCTATGTGTGACGCCATTGTTAAAATGTAATTGTTTACTAGCTCTACATTATCTTCTAACGCATTCTAAAATGTCATTTTCAAATTTCACATAAAAGAAAGATGTGGTTTATGAGAACTGGACTGTATGTTACATAAGCAGCTTTGAGAATTGTCCAATTGAGATTGTCTCTTTTATAGGGTCCTTCTGGTTTTCCTGGCGGCCCAGGCCCAATTGGTGCAATTGGACCAGCAGTAAGTAGTGCTTATATTTACACTCATGTCAGTGTGAATGTGTTCTCTTGTTACATTAATCTATATTTTGTACAGGTCTTGAAACATTTCATATTTTTCTGACCAATGTCTATAATGATTTTTACCTTTGATTGTTTGCTCTTAAATACATTATTTTCCCTATTGTTCAGAGCATATCAATAGGTAGTATAAAAATCACTATATAGATACTTTGCTCATGTTTGAGGATCTATAATCTTGTCTCACAGTTTTTCAGAGGCAGGGTATAGCTCAGCAGACAACATGCCAAAATGTTGAAGCATTCTTGCCTCTCTATGTATAGATGAAATATCTTAAATTTGAAATGACTAATATACAATGAAATAATTATATTAATGGTGAAAAACCTAAAATATAATATGACAAAATGAATAACTTTTTTTTAAATGAAAATTTGAGATTCCCAGGTGATTTTCAAGAAAGTTTTATCCCCAGTAGGACTGGGCCAAATGTTTCCTTCTGAGTCAAATGCACAGAGTCAGAAAATTTCCCCTAATCATGGAGAAACGTCCTGAATGGCAGAAGTTTTGTTTCAGCAGAGGGTGGGTGATATCTACAATCACACTCACTGACACCAGAAACAGTATGGAGATGGTCACAGGGCCTACTGACCTTTCAGGTGAGTTGTGGAAAAGACTGGCCTCAGCGATTTAACATCTGGTTCAAGTTTAAAGTAAAAACAATAAAGAATTAAAACACCCTGTGGCCATAACTCCTACCACCTCTGCACTCAGTAGACACTCATTCACTTCTGATGCCTGTCTGTACCCCTCCAACATCCCTCATTTTTCTGTAAGCCCTTATACTACTCACTGTCAATCTATGCTGACCCATGACCTCCTCTTCAAGTATCCCCACGACCTTTATAGTCCCTGTGCCAATTTATGCCCAGCAATTTTTATCCACCCTTTGAAACCTCCATGCCAACTCACCCACTATTCATCATAGGAACATTTCAGGAGGCATGATAAAATAAAGTAAACTTCTAAGTATTGCTTACCGGCTTTCTATATTAAAAAGAAGCTTGCATTGATTGTTTTAAAATTCCTTCAACTACTTCAAGTGTTTGCTGTTTTATAAAGCCAAATGTTTCCATGTCAAGGAGAGCCTGGCCAGTTGGAATCGTCAATCAAATTATAAGTTTACAATCTCACCTTATCCCACTGTGATAATGGAACTTTGTGGAAGTAGAAAAGCAGCGCTAATCCTTTAATGATTTGCCTCAGAATTATGTCAACAACCATCTACCAAACTTGCAAGCACTTTTTGCTTTCAACTACAAGCTGTATTTTGCTGTCCAAAATTTAAAGATGATAGGATTTAAATGATTTGACAGCTTTACAGTACGACAAGCCTTACCTCTTTTAACACAAACTATGTCTACACTTAACAATCTGACAGAGATATCTGGACTCTCCCAACTGGTACCTGACTTATTCAAATGGAGTAGTTGGACCTCTCCAAAACGATACCTTATTTCTCCAAAGAACTGTGGAATGTTTGTGGATGTTTTGGAAATCCCGGTAACAGAAATTACTTCTGCCTGAAGGCAGCTGTACTTTTGAATGTGCTGCTGCCCTAAGAACTGCAATATGTGAAATAACTCTTGCCCCAACCCTCACACCATTCTGCTGGCAAAAATGATGGACATCAGGGAGGGGTTCCTGATTCTGGGCTCAGGCACCATTGGCTAAGGTGTGGAACTCTTCCAACTTGGTGAAAACTTACATCTAAATGTTTTAGTGGTTCTCATATGATTTACTGTTTAATGAATGGAAATAGTCTACGTAACAAAAGCCTGCTCTCATAAAGAAGGCCCTTTGTTTAATTTGCGTGTTGCTAGTCTCACACATCACACGTACAGAATTTTTTATCAGTTCATAATTATTTAACTTATTCATCAGTTGTACCTAAATAGTCAACGTGTTCCAAATACATTCCAAAATTATTAATTGATTAGATGACTAAGCATCAAAAACCTTTGGGTAAAATGAATAAGTAAATTCAGTTCTTCGGTCCAGAAAACTTTTATTTTATGCTAAATAACCAGTGTTGGAAATCGGTAACAGCTCACCTTTACTTAATAAAGAGTATCGAAGCTAGCTGTACTCTTGCAATAATTTTTATTAAGAAATAAGGTAATGAATACTGAAATAAACTTGTTCCTGTGCCAAAATCAGATATAGAACTGGGAAATGGAATGCAGAGATCTTTTAGTTCATAAATATTTCAATAATCATTCCTAGTTGATTTTTTAAGTTAATATCAGTTCTTCACAAATATTGAATGTTTTGTATTACATTGGTTTTCGAACAGAACATATAATTACATTCAAGCAATTGCTGTTGCAGTTGAATACAATTGTTATTTTCAGCTGTTTAAGACCCTTCTTTCCCTTTCCTCCTTGTTATTAAGCAATGGCACTTTCTATTTCTCTGCAGAAAAGGACTTTGCACCCCACAACACATCTCTTCTTCTCTGTTTCCCTTCTGTTCTGCTCACTCCAGGACTTAGACCTCCCTTAATCAAGCCCTATGGCCACACTCTATGCCTGTCACAGCATCCTCCAACTGACTCATCTACTTCCTTATGATTCTCTTCTGTTCTCCTTGATCCCTGTATAAATTATGAATTTCCACCAATTCCTCCACGCTTCTATTGTAACATCAGTGACAGAATAGCAGAACTGTGCTTTCCGACTGCTGGAGATTTCTGTAATCTCTCACTGGACAACCACTGAGGAATTCCAGGTAATGTAGATCATATCCTTTTAGACTTTCTGTTAACCTTTACTTTTTTTCAACAGGGCAGCGCAGGTTCTCCTGGCCCTCCAGGCCCCCCCGGTAAAAATGGCCTGGCTGGTCCAGCTGGCAAAACGGGTCCACGTGGTGAAATTGGACCTCCTGGTCACGCAGGCGCACCAGGGAACCCTGGTGAGAAGGGTTCACCTGGTGAATCCGGTCCTCCTGTAAGTAACCTATCTGGTACCTAAAACGAATAAAAGTGCTAGTTATCAAAATTAGATTGAAATACTGGACTGGAGATAATTTCTAAAATACAACAAATAAAAGGATTCACTATGAATTAATGCCTACTGCAGTATATTTTGTGTAAATGTAAGTTAGATCGCTCAGATTCTAGATGTAGAGTAATCAAATTTGCAGTGACCATTGTCAAACTTCCCTCAGCATCATATCACTGTAGGTAGTGACAAAATTGCGTCATGAAGCATAATACAGGGAGACAATGACTTAGTGGTATTATCGCTGGAAACCAGGTCCCCAGAGACCCAGCCAATGTTCTGGGGACCTGGTTTCGAATCCTGCCACATCAGATGGTGGAATTTGAATTCAATAAATATTTGGAATTAAAGAGTCTAATGATAACCATGAATCTGTTGTTGATTGTTGGCAAAACCCACCTGGTTCACTAATATCCTTTAGGGAGGGAAACTTCCATCCTACCCTACATGTGACCCCAGACCCATAGCAATGTGATTGACTCTTAACTGCTCTCTGGGCAAATAAATGAGCAATAAATATTGGCCAGGCCAGCAATGCCATCATTCCGTGAACAAATTAAAAAAAAACTCTAGTTCTTGTTAACATCAGGGACAATCAGAAACATGAGAAATTTGACTTGTTTAGGAGAACGAGATTAGCATCAAGTGAAGCATCTGAGTCTGCATTGGATATGAGGGCCTTCTTGTGGTGTAGTGTTAGTGACCCTACCCCTGGACAAGGAGGCCCCAGGTTCAAGTCCCACCTGCTCCAGTGATGTGTAATAACATCTCTGAACAGATTGATTAGTAAAATAGGTTTATTGGATATGTCTTAATAATGTTTTGCCTTAACTATTACACATAGAAGTAAATTATTTTCTAACCCACATTGTCCTTAACAGGGCCTTTCTGGCATACCAGGCCCTCAGGGTTTGGCAGGAACACGAGGCTTGGTAGGTTTACCTGGTTCAATAGGGAGACCAGGCCCTACAGGTCAAAGAGGACCATCAGTAAGTACAACTTCTTCCATGACATTTATTTAGGTTTCATGTCTTTAATCTACATTTACATGTGATTATTTCTGGCTTCTGGACTCAGAGAGGAAGCTATTTCTCCAATATAATCAAATTAATAAGCAATCTACCACATAGTTCCTCAGAAAATAGGACATATCGGGTTTTCATGATCTGAAAGTGAAAGAAAATGCAACAGTACTTGATTAAATTATATTTGTACATCAGACTTTGTTTTTGGCTGTGAATCAAACTCTAGCCATGTAACCTCCATTGATTTCCCTCCCACACAGCTTTTAGACATTCTGTGACATCTAGACCAATCTTAAGTTGTTTTTGTAGCAGACTAGAAACTTCAGTTTCTTTATTTTATCCTGAAGATCCTGGTCTCTTCACTGTCTTTTCTTACCTCAGCAGCTATAGACACGATAGTTACCATTACTTTTTAAGAGGTTGAAATTGAAATACTTGCTCATTTTTTCAATACCTCCATTTCTATCCTTTTAAATAATTCTTCACAGTAACTTTCTACTCACTTTTCTTAATTGTGACTTCCTGGCTCTGTCTTGACCTATGGCGTTACAAAAAGGCAAAAATAGCTGCTCCTTTTCAAGAAGAACAGATAATTATTTGAAGCCGCTATGGACACAAGGTAGAGATGAGAGATATGAGATTTTTTTTGGATTTCTCCCACAAAAGAGCTCACCCAGATAGAGATCATTAAATAGCCGCCTTTTGCACTGTAATTTATGTTACTGAGGATCGCATATTTTTTCAGGGGATCTGACTGAAGGACTTGCGTTTCAGATTTTTAAAATATTGTTGTATGCCATTCAAGAAGGCACACTAAATCATAAGGATGTTTGCTCAAATTAGTACAAACCGTGTGTTATTCAGGGTGAACCTGGCAAACAGGGTCCCCCTGGTGGTCCCGGTGAACGAGGCCCTTCAGGTGTAGCTGGTCCACCTGGCACAAGTGGAGCCCCTGGTCAACCTGGCAGAGATGTGAGTAGTTTTATTCATGTTTTATCTTTAAATAGAATAATTGATATCATACATTATACTACATTATCAAGACAGTATCACGTATATTTTAGTGCAGAATCTGTTTCTAAACAGTAATTTGAAAGTTTACGAACAACCATCAACTCGGAATCTGTTTTTCCATTATTCATTAAGACTACCCAGTCTTGTTGGTTGTGTTGTTTCATAAATAATTTATGTTACACTTTAGGGTAATCCAGGCTCCGCTGGACCTCCTGGCCAAGTTGGACCTTCTGGTCCCAAGGTGAGGGTGAAGAAAATTCAAGTTACTTGCAATTACAAATTTACCTAACGAAGGAGCTTGAAATCGGTGTTAGGCAATTTTTCCCGTCAATGATGACTGTTGTCGTTTTGTTTTGGCAGGGTGATCGCGGTGAACCTGGTCCAGGTGGAAATCCAGGTCGCTCTGGACTTCCTGGACCTCCAGGTCAGCCTGGTCCATCTGGTAAACAAGGTGACAGAGGTCCCTCAGTAAGTGGGAAAATTAACATCTGCATTGTCATTCATCAATGTATAAACCGGTTCAAACAAAAATTGTTAATTTATCTTATTTCATTCATGAGGAATTTGTCAAAAATGTTACTTTCCTTGAAGTATTCTGATTTATTTGAGCATATCATAGCTTTTTGCTTGCTTAGTATTTTTGAAGTAAGAGCCATTGAAGTGAAAATGTACTTTTTGGGCACATCTTGATATCTATCTAACATAAGCTATTAAATCACTGATACTCGGTTAGCTCAGTTGGCTGAATAGCTGGTTTGTGATGCAGAGTGATGCCAGCAGTATGGGTTTAATTCCCATACCAGCTGAGGTTGCCATGAATTGCACACCTTCTTGACTTTGCCCATTGCGTGAAGTGTGGGGACCCTCGGATTACACCAGCTCCAATTGCTTCCCTAATGGGGGTGCAGTTCTACGGTCCATGAGGACTGGAGCAACATTTACTCAATGATAAGTTTCTATTTTAATTTGTTAATTTGCTAGCCCATTGGAGAAAGAATTGAACAGCTCTCTGAATGGGTTTATTTTGTGGAGCACCATTTCGTGATTCAATGACTACAGTTTAAAAGAAGTTGGATTTTTGTCAGAATTTTCCAGGTTTCCTGTAGAAACTCCCTTCAAAGAACCTGACATTTGCCCTGGCCATCTAGTGTTCGCTCATTCTTAACCAAGCAGGATTGATGTCCTTCTGTTGGGAGATGTGCTCTTGCTGGTTAAAAAAATCTGCACAAGGAATTGTGCTGATCTGTATTACTGTTTACATCTTTCATCCAATGTATCCTTTTTAAAACTTATATTAATCAAAACTACTTTAAACCTTATTTGCAATGAACTTTAAATTCCTTCAAACATTATTCACAATAATTTTGCATAAGACATAATGTTTGGGCACAAATGTTTTAACTGTTTTGTTTTCCTACTCTCAAAACCTTTTAGGGACCTACAGGTGAAAGGGGCTTACCAGGCCCATCTGGGGCCACTGGACGTGTGGTAAGTTGGTAACTGTGTGTTTCAGGAAATCGCATCCAAATAGTGTAACGAGACAGTAAGTTATTGTGTGTCAAAAAGAGGGCATGGTCAGTGAGAGGGAGACTTTGCCTGAATGAAACAGAGGAAATGTGAGTACATCTGGATCAAGGAGGGAATTCAATGCAGGGGTGGGGTTGGGAAAGATGTGCTTTAAGTAAAGTTTTCTGCAAGAAGTGAAGAGTGCTGAGTCAAGGATTTGGTAAAGGGTGGGAAGGAGACACTTCTAGCTTCTGGTCTTTGTTCAGTAAATTTGTTGATTAGCGAGAAACTGCTATTGAGGACTGTCTTTAAATTAGAAAGGCGCATTATTACGAAAAGAAGCCATACTCTGATTTAACTGAGGACCAGCAGGAAGAAGGGAATGTTCAGGCTGACATGATAGATTAATACAAGGAACCTGAAGCAGAATAAAGCTAACATAAGGAAAATGAAGTTAAGACAAGGCAGAGATAGTAGGAACTGCAGATGCTGGAGAATCTGAGATAACAAGGTGTAGAGCTGGATGAACACAGCAGGCCAAGCAGCAT